CAGTTACAGTTACTCAAAATCTGTCTTTTACTGTAAGACTAAGACAATTGTTGCTTTGAAATAATGTGTTGGAACCTGATGCAGCTGACTAAGTGTCATATATACTCACTTCTTTACTAGGAGAAGGAACCTTAAGTCATTTCTTTGTAATATATGCTATTCAAGATAACATTTTCTGATTGCTACTTATCAGGTATTTTTTAGACATTGAAAGTTAGACACTTCTTGCTGTACTGAATAGTAGCTTAATGACAAGTTTTTCATTAATCATTGAATGCATTTCAGTTTTAGTGCATGTCAGTGTTAATGAGCAAATTGCTGGGACCACCAGTTCTCTGTTCTGATTATATATATATAATTTCCTCCTTCCTGAAAGATACAAGACACAGAGAAGAAAGAAAATGGTAAATGTGTGGGGGTGTGTATAGATTGTAACTACTGAATTAGGTCAGTGTTACAGATTTGGGGGAGGTGTTTCTGGATGAGAAGGCGTTCTGGTTGGGATAAAGGAGTAGGGTAGAAGGTTAGATTCCCAACTCTAGAATTTTAGGCTAGAATCATGTCGTAATCCTTGTGGTGAGTCAGTACTTATTAAGATTTTAAGAAGGCAGTTCCTAGAATCCTGTATGAAACCAATCAGTGATACCTTTCACCCTAAAACTGTATTGCTGCCATTAAGCCTTTTTGCAGTACAGCACTTGTGGTGAAAAAGCACATCAGTGAGATCCTGGTTAGAGAGGAATGTCATTCTATAAATGAATAGTTGTGTGATTGTTAACAAGCTCTGTTGTTACATGGTGGGTAGACTTGTGTTCTGGCATTCACCATTACCACACAGCAAAGTAGATTTTTGTGGCATATGTCCTCACTTGTATGTAACCAGAGCACTTCAAATAAAAGCAGAGTAGGTCTGTGACCCTGGATAGGGCTTAGGGTAATGCTCATGAATAATAAAGTGCATTTTGAAGTCTGCCTCTGTCACCTGGCATTTGCTTTTTTCTGAGGCTCTATATTTTAAGTAACCAATCTAGGAGAAAGGCTGTAAGTATTGGGGTATTGCAGTTGTTTTTGAAGAGGAGACTTCGAGAAACTCAAATGAAAGCTGTTCTAGAAGTCAACTGTATTAGAAAATTATGTTTACTCTTTCATCATTATATGCTAAAATGCCATCCTTTCTGTTTGCTGTGACATGTTATCCTGTAACAGGATAATGTGCCCATATTTGCTTTGTACCTAGCACTTACCCAGGAACATAGGTCTGACCTTTTTTTATTTCTGGCTTTTGAAAAGGTGCTTGATTTCTCCCCAAAACAAAATTAACCTCTTCTGCCACACAGGCATGAGGTTGCTGGCTGTGGAAGCTGAGGTGAGGCTCACGTGTGCAGCTGTACTGGATGCTGGAGCCTGGAAGCACAGGTCCCTCCTGGAGGACAGTGCTGTGCCCAGTGTCTGCAGGCTGCTGGGGCTCTCTTGGAGTGCTGCTTGCACTGGGTGCTGCCTTCCAAGTGGGGAGTCAGAAGATCTGTAGTTGTCTTTTCCTGGTGTTATTAAAATTCCGAGGAGTCAGGTGAAGCAAAAACTGGCTTTCGCTTATAATTTATTGGTAAATCAGGGTGACACAAGGAGATGGCAAAAGCATAGCAAATGGGAATTTGCTCAGCTGGCAATCAAAAAGCAAATGTCAGTGGGATTCATTTGACTCAGCCTTCATAGCCTCGTACATGGCTTGATTAGCAATTGAGGAGTTAGTTTGTAATTTAACAGGTATCTGTCTCCATTTTGACCCTGTTTCAAAACATCTATTCAAAGCTTTGGGTAGAGGTGTTAATTTTTTTTTTAATGTGGCTTATCGTGCTGAATCCAAAATCAGGAATAGTAGAAATGAGATGTATATAAAAACTAATGCAGAGTATCCATTAGAATTCAGCTGGATGCAGGCAGTTTGAATTGTGTCTGTTGGGCTGTCTCTGTGCTTCAAACCAAGGTGTCACTGCATTGGTTTACATGTGTTTATACATTATCAAATTAATTATAAATAGGTGTGAAGGCTGTTCTTGAGCTGAGCCAAACTGTGCCTTGGTGTGTTGTAAATCCAAAAAATTGGAATTGAATGGTCTGAATTAAGTGATGGGAATTCAAAGTTAATTAATGGTTAATTAATTAATTAGTACTAGAGAGGTTAAAGCAGTAGCATGTTCTCTGTGGGCATGCAGTTTGATGTTTTCTCTGAAACATAAACAGTTAAATGAGTGACTGAAAACAGGACTGGTAAACTGCTGCCTTCTCCTACTGTTTAAAATGCATAAATTGGATTATGATTACACTTACAGAAGTATGTTTATATACTCTGTAATTAGAAGGAAAATACCTGAGCAAGGATATCCTTGCAATTTAGAATATGCAGATACTACAACAATCAATCAGATGATTTACTGGAGATGGAGTGTTTTTAGTTAGCTGCAGCATGAGTGGAAGTTACTTTTGTGTCTCTGAGGAGGGACAAGTGATGAACTCCTGAAGTTGGCCTTGTGTTATGCACATGACCAAGCCAAGTGAAATTCTGAGGAAACCCTGAAATACAGTTTTCTGGGAATATAATTTAAGTAATATACATGGAGAGTCATGATTAGACTCTTAAGCAAACAATCACTAAATAAGAGGAAGAAAATGATAGGTTAGTCCTTTATGTAAATGTTTTTACTAGTATCAACAAAAAATAAGGAAAATATACAGAACTTTGCTTTACTCTGTGAATTTGCATGATTTTGAATAAGTTGGATATTTCAGTAGTAGCTTTCATGTATTTCCTAGTTAAATTGTGTTACTTGCCTTGAGCAGAGTGGAATTTGCAAGAATGCTTTGCCCACACCCTTCAGTTGAGCACAGAGACAAATCTCAAGGTAAATCCACTCTAGTGTCAGTCAGTCTGACAGGAGAGCTGGAGTTTATCCTGGCTCCCTGGCTGGCATTGGGATGAATGCTCTCTGCCCTTGCAATGTACCACTCCAAGCAATTAAAGAAACTGGAAATAATCAGTCTTTGTAAGTTTTGTGGGGTTTTGTTGTTGTTTCCTTTGGTACTCTGAACCAGCTCAAGTCATGATAATTTAGCCCAAAGCATTAGAGTAAGAAAGGGATGAGATGGAGCAGCTTGCCCTTGGTGGAAGCAGCTGTGGAATGGCAGCAGTCCGTGGACACTTCTTCCTGCAGTTTAAACCAACCTAGACCAGGATTGGTGCTGAAATGAGCAATTTTCCCCTTTTCCTGTTCTTTGCTACCTCGCTCCTTGTGCCAGCACAAGTTTTCATGTGGTGGTGTTGTGAACCAGATCTGTTAAGGAAGAATGGTGGTGGTTAAAGGAGGTTTATTGTGGTGGTGGTGGTTGGCTTAGGGCTGCTGAAAGTGCAGTGTAAGTTGGCAGCAGTTTGATTTCACTGGTTTGTGCAAGTACCTCAAAGCCTCCATCAGGTAGTGCAGGGGAACTGACTGCATTGAACTGCAGTAGACTGCAGTGTGTGTGTGTATAGATATATGTGGCAGGAAACTTAGTCTTGCTAGTACTTTCTACCAAGTGATCTTTCTAAACCAGTAGAAAACAATTAAATACTCAGGAAGGCATTTTTTAAAAAGCTTCAATTATATGCCAAATACATTAATTTTAAAAGTTGTGTTTAAAAAATCATTTCTTCCTAAAGAAAATTTCAAGTTGGTAATGCATTTGTTCTGCACTTAGTAGTCTTACTAAGCCCTATGAATGTGAATTCTGAAGGTTAGAGTTGGATTACAGTTGAGTGTTTTCAAAGAGCACAGTTTTATTCAAAAGCGAACATTATTTTAGTGACCTTATTAGAGCTGTCTAAATTCGTTGGTGCTGTGAGTATTGGAGACTGGGCAGGGGAGGTACAGTGTGTTCAGTCAATTTTTATTGTATATGTAATGCCTTGTGAATTTGCACAGTTTAAGAAAGGATTTTTAAAGTGTCTTGGAGGAAGATAACAACTGAAAATTAACTTGAGACATCACAAAAAACCACTTATAAATATGCATAGTGTTACAACAGAATTTTTGCTGTTTGAATCAGGAGCTTAGCACTGCCAAATGCCTCTTGCTGAAAGCTTGTACAGCTCTTTCTACCACTTTACTTGGCTTTTTAACTTTCAGAGTACTGTTGTTGGTTTATGTGGTGCTTGGAAATCCGAGTTGCTCTGGGAAATTACATCTCATCTTCTACGAATTACACAATGCCTGGTGTTATAGGGTGAAATTGCTCTTATAACTTAATTCAGCTCCTTTTGTCTGTATATAATGCAATGAAGTTGAAACACATAACGAATATTGAACTCTTGCTATCATGATTACGAGTTCAACAAATCTGATGTCACAGTTTTCTTCACATAATCTGCTAAAGTGCTTGGTGGTGATATGGTGGGCTTTGCAAGGCCAGAGGACCCAGGCTTTGGTAGGCAGGTGCTGGAGAAAGGGAATACAGGTCAAATTCCCTGGGTGAATACCGATGTGCTAATGGAAGTTTGGCTGCAGGGTCTCAGTCTCAGCTGAGGCAGAATCAGTCTCTAACTCTCAGACATCTGCAGTTAAGCAGTGTCAGGAGAAAATATTGGAAAAGATGACAAATTTGGCTTTTTAGGCTGGTAACCAGGTCATTTCTACCTCAGACCTTGAGCAGCACCATGAATTCAAGTTGAGAATCTACTGTAGTGATTCAGGCACAACAGTCAGAGTAAACAGCTGCATTTTGGATGTGTGCCAGTTTCTCAGAGGTATAAAGGTGATTATCTGTGTAATTTTTACTCAGAACGTTAAAATCATGTTAAATATGTCAAATGTGATTTTGTCAGTTATATTCTATAAAAAGGAACACTAAATCTGAAATAGAAGATTCTCTATAACAGTGTATTTGTTTTCATAGTGTTCTCTTCCAAGTGTGGATTATGTTTATATGCATGTGTTAATATAGCATATTTCTTTTTTTTTCACCCACAGGTTATGCAATGGTCTCTGCAAGATGTCATGTTCTTGAGTTGGAGCTTTTTAAGGCAAGCATATGCTGGTACTTCAGCTTAACTAAGTGGACTATAATTTCTTCTCTCACATCAACTACATAAGCAGACAAAATTGCAAAGATCTGCCCTGTGTCGAGTATGACAGCCACGACTCGTGGCTCTCCGGTAGGAGGGAATGATAGCCAGGGCCAGGCTCCTGATGGACAGTCCCAGCCTCCCCTCCAGCAGAATCAGGTATGGTATTAACCATCAAGTTGTTTAAAAATAAAGGATTTTGCTCTTTAGAAATAACATTTCTGAATTATTTTAATTTGTGTATTCCTGGAGATGTCTAGTAAAGTTAGATATTTTTGTGTATGTGTCTGGAAGTACAAAACCATTTTGAGGGATGAAGGCAGTTCTACTGGCAAATTAGACACTGGGTTGCAAAAAATGCTCGCTTTCCAGACAGTGGCATAGGTCCTTCAAGCATATGTATTTTGGATAAGGAGCCTTCTTGGAATGATACCAGAAGCTTCCTCTGAACCACATTGTTGACTTACCTGCAACAGATTGGCAGAACTACTCCCTGTGAGTTCAGTTCATGCTCAGTTCTGCAAAAGCACTTTCTGGATACAAGAGCTTACATCCAGGTGTCAGCTCTTCCAGAGCAGCTGCATCCAGGTCTCCATTCATTGTACAAGACTTCCTGAACGGTTTTGTGTGTTTCAAAAGACAAGCAAAAGCTTTTATGTACTATATTATAGAGTGATGATTCTTTTTTGTTGAGGAAAAAAATGCCGGAAAAGGTGCTTTTAAACAGTGCAGCTAAAAGCGTTTAAAAGAAGAGAGACACTTTGTCACTTAATCCAGTATGAATATATCATTATTTTTTTAATACCATAAGGTTTAATGGTTGCTTCTTCCTGAGAATAAATTGTACTTTGCAATGTGTGTGGTGGGCTGACCCTGACTAGCAAGGAAGTCTCCACCCTGTCGCTCACTCCCTCTGCCTCAGTGGGATGGGGAAGAGAATCAGAAGGAAAAAGTGAGAAATTGTATGGGTTGAGATAAATGCAGTTTTATAAATGAAGGGGTGAAGGGGAAACAAGTGATACCAGTGCTGTCACTCACTACCAGCTGATGGAGGCCCATCTAATCCCCAAGCAACAGCTACCTCAGGGAAAAAACCCCTTTGTTTTATTGCCAAGCATGACATTACATGGTGTGGAGCACTTCTTTGGTCAGGTCAGGTCAGCTCTACCCACTGTGTCCCCTCCCAGCCTCTTGCCTTACTGCTGTGGGGGCCAAGTGAGAATGACAGGACAGTTAAGGTTGGAAGGGACCCCTGGTGTCATCTAAATCCAACCTCCCTGCTCAAGCAGCATCCCCTTCACTATGTTACTTGGGATTTTGAGCAGGCAGCTTTTGAGTGTCTCCAATCTGGGAGACTCTGTAACCTCTCTGGTCAGTCTTTTCCAGTGAATGGTCACCACACAGTAAAGAAGTTCTTCTTCATGTTCAGATGGAACTTCCTGTGTTTCCCTTTCTACCTGTTGCCTCTTGTCGTGTTGCTTGGCACCACGGAGAAGACCCTGGTTCCGTCTTCTTGGCACCCCCCACCTTTAGATATTTGCACACATTGATGTGTTCCCCTCTCAGTCGTCTCTTCTCCAGGCTGAACAGGCCAAGCTCTCTCAGCCTTTCCTCATTACTGAGACGCTCCAGTCCCTTAATTATCTTTATCATCCTCTGCTGGATCCACTCCAGGATCTCCATGTCTCTCTTGTGCTAAGGAGCCCAGAGCTGGACACAACACTCCAGGTGATCCTCACCAGAGTCGAGCAGAGGGGCAGGATCTGCTGGCAATGCTCTTCCTAATGCAGCCCAGGATCCCATTGGCCTTCTTGGTCCCCAGGACACACTGCTGGCTCTTGGACAGCTTGCTGTCCACCAGGACCCTCTAGTCCTTCTCCACAGAGCTGCTTTCTAACAGGTCAGCCCTCAGCCTGTCCTGGTACCTGGGGTTATTCTCCAACTGCAGGGCCCTGCACTTGCCTTTGTTGAATTTCAGAGAGTTCTTCTCTGCCCATCTCTCCAGCCTGTCGAGGCTCTTCTGAAGGGCTGCGCAGCCCTCTGGGGTATCGGCCACTCCTCCAGCTTTGTGTCATCAACAAACTTGCTGAGGAGACACCTCCCACTTCACCCGTCATTGATGAGTAAGTTAAACAGTCCTGGGCCCAGTATTGAACCTTGGGGGACACCACTACTGACAGGCCTCCAACTACACCCAGTCCCCTGGGATCTGCCATGTAGCAAGTCCTTGATCCACCGCAGTGTCCACTCATCCAGTCCACACTTCCTCATTTTCCTAGGAGGATATTGTGAGAGACAGTGTCAAAGCCTTGCTGAAGTCCAGGCAGACAATATCCACTGCTTTCCCCTCCTCCATCCACATACCTTTTCATCATAGAAGGCAATCAGGTTGTTAAAGCATGATTTACCTTAAGTGAATCCATGCTGACGACTCCTGATCACTTTCTTTTATCCATATGGACAGAGATAGCTTCCAGAATGAGCTGTTCCATCACCTCTTGGGAATTGAGGTGGTACTGGCTGGCTGGTAGTTCCCTGGGTCCTCCTTGCCCTTTTTGAAAACTGGAGTGATATTTACTTTCTTCCAGTCCTCGAGTACCTCTCCTGGTGGCCATGACCTTCCAAAGATAATCGTGAGTGGTTCACTGTGGTGTGTGCCAGTTCCCTCAGCACTTGGGGGTTCATCCCATCAGAGCACTTGGATTTGTGGATGTGAAGTTTAATTAAATGGTCTTTATCTAACCCAGTCTTCTCAACTAAGGTGGGAAAGTCTTCCTTCCTCCAGACCTCCTCCCTGATGTCCTGACTCGGGGATTCCCGAGGACTGGCCTTGGCTGTGAAAACTGAAGCAAAGAAGGCATTCAGTATCTCTGCCTTCTCTGTAACCTCTGTTGGCAAGGATTCCTGTTCCATTCAGTAGCAGGACCACATTTTCCTTAGTATTTATTTTGGTTTTGGTGTATTTGAAGAAGCCCTTCTTGTTATCCTTGACATCCTTAGCCAGATTTAATTCCAAACGGACCTCGGCCTTCCTCATTGCATTTCTGCATATTCCGACAACATCTCTATGTTCATCCTGGGTAGCCTTTCCCTGCTTCCATCCCACCTATCTCTTACCTGTGTCTGAGTTTTGACAGGAGTTAACGAGGAGAAACACAAGGCCTTGAATCTATGCCAGTGCTGTTCACCAACATACAAAACACTGATGTGTTTTCCGTGCTGTTTTGGTCACAAATCCAAAACCCAGCACTGTGGAAGGTGCTGTAAAGGAAATACACTCCGTGCCAGCCAGATGTGATACAACAGGTGGAAAATGTACTTGAGGTTTTGTCCTCCTAAATCTTGCCATTCTGATTTGAACCTTTATTATTGTCAGTTCATACTATTTGTATGTGTGAATAAATGACATCTGTAAAATACATTGTATTTTGCGTGGCCCATCAAAATGGACTTGACTTAGTCATGTTCTTGAAGGTTGGTTAGTAGACAGTTACAGTAGTAGGTCATTCATTTTTAGCAAACTTTTAAGAAAGTGTTTTTCATTATTATTTTCCTCTGTGCTGCTGCTCAAGGTTGTATTTCTGCCTAAAATAGTCATCTTTTCTGCAGAAGATTTGTACAAACTGGAACTTCTGTGTATTTATTTCACCTTCTAGATAGGTGGTCTGCTGAAAGTAGAAGTCTGTTAAAATATACCCCACTTTCCTCACTGGGAATTGTAGCTTATTTTTTAAACTATCAGCATAGAAAGCATATATAGCACATTTTATTCTCTATTTTTTGTTGGCAAATCTGAAATCGAAGGATATTATGTTGACATGTGCTTACTTCAAATGAATCTTTGAAACACAATATGAAGGAAAAATGCCAAAACAAGTGCAGGCAGTATTTAAAGTATTTTCCCTACCAATTTTAGACTTCTTCACCTGATTCTTCCAATGAGAACTCCCCAGCTACCCCACCTGATGAGCAGGGCCAAGCTGATGCTCCACCCCAGCTTGAAGATGAGGAGCCTGCATTTCCACACACAGACCTGGCAAAGTTGGATGACATGATCAACAGGTATTTTCACACTGTTGAAGATATTTTGCAGATATCTTGGTAGTGGAATCAGGATTTTTACATCTTTCTTTCACCAGATTTCTTGAAATATTTTTTTTTTGAGTTAAAGTTGTAAAGAGAAAGAGGCTCAAAGCAGAGTAGGATTTTGTTTGGGTTGGGTTTGTTTTTTTTTAGTGTAGTACTCATCAGGACTTTAAAATGTATATGCTTAACCTATATTAAAAGCATTACAAAAGGTCAAGGATTCTTGATTTTTCAGAAGCACAATTGAAATTTGGGTTGATTTTGTTTTTGGTTATAGGCCTCGATGGGTTGTACCTGTATTGCCGAAGGGGGAATTAGAAGTTCTTCTAGAAGCTGCTATTGACCTAAGTAAAAAAGGTAAGCTGAAAAGACAATTAATGATTATTGGACAAGTGTGTAAAGTCTTTCTTGATCTTTTGAAACCCTAGTGGAGGCTTAAAAATTCTTATTAAATTCAGTGTTTCTGTTAGCAACTCTTGCCCTGAAGATTGTGTTAGACTGCTATGCAAAACCTTCACAGATCAGAAATTTTAGGAAGCCATTAATGTAGTTAGAAATTAGGTGCCTTAGCATGAGTAGGAAAGTTGAATAAGCTCATAGACCTAAAAATCCTGTCATTCCTGTCATACCTGTTTTCTGTTTTCACTTTGATATCAGACTTAGTGGGTTTGGTCTTTATAACAGATACTGAAACTCAAAGAAATCTGGTTGTCTTTTTTTTTTAATATAAGTTACTTGTCTAACTTTTAAGTATCCTGCTGTAATTTTTTGTTCAAATTTGGCACGCACTTACGTTTGAGAATGTTAGAGAAAATTTAGAATTTTAAGCAGCATGGCTTAAGGCTAGTAGTCCCACCAGTGCTTGTTGTGTCTGATTTGGAAGTAGGAGGGCTCCATATCAGGACTGTGGATGTGTTTGCCAAATTGTACAAGTCAGATTGACAAGTTCTTCATGTGTTCTGGAAAGTTCTGTCCTCCTGGGAAGTGGGTTTGGTCTCCTATTCCAGTTAGTGTTTGTTACCCCAGTGCTTGAGTAATACTGAAAGTAGATCAAAATAATTTTTTAGGTTATCTGCACTTACCATCTAGTTGTGTCTCAAATATAGTGTCATGCAAAGTGTCTGTTCCTACTTTCACATGCTGCTGGCCCAGGATGACTTCATTTCCATGTTAATAAAAGTTAAACAATTTTAAGACGGAAAAACTGTTTGTGGTCATGATATTCTGGGTTATTTTGATTGTTAAGCCTTTCTTACTTTGGAGCAGTCTCTGGAGAAACAAAAGTTAGGGTGCATCTTTATGATCCAGCATAGGATGATGACATTGTTGCTGATTTATCAGCCGTAGTTGTGCTTGTCATCGGTGGCTTTATGTGTAGCTGGGTCTGGCAGGAGTCCTGAGGCGAGTGTAGGATGTTCAAGTGATCACATCTGTTCAGGAGCAAAAGAAATGCCAGCTTACCGAAAGAAAACGCAGCCACCTTTGTGTCTGGGTTGTTGGAACAGTGCAATAAAGAGAAATTCTCTGCTTGTGATTTGCGGGAGAGGAGATGTGTGTTCTGCCAGCTGTTAAGTCATCTTTAAAAAAACAGAAATCAAACCCAAAAAACTGTCAATGCAATGAAGTAATAAGAGCAGAATGACAGTTTTAGCTACTCCTAACATCAACTTACTTCCTCAAAGCATTGGCTTAGTTGAAAGTTCCAAACAAAAAACTTATTTTTCCTTTTGAAGTTGTTAAAAGCAGTGGAAATGTATTCATACGCTTTATGCATTTCAATTTTTATTAAATTGTTGGTGTCCAAATCTAAAAGGTACTTCTCTGTTGCTATTTAATTACGTTTTCTCCTGCCCTCTAGATGAATTCCTATGTGTGTACATATGCAAGGATTATTGGATAAGGAGAAAACAAGGAAAGCTGTTAGAAGTAGTTGTTTAACTGTGTTATCTTTACAGTTGCCTCCTAGATTTTTTAGTTTTTCTTTGCTACTTGAAATTACCTGATGGCTAAGATGGTTCTTTCTAAATTACTTCCAGTTCTCAAGGAATATGATAGGGCGTCACTTGGTATAACTGGCACTGTTTTGGTAGCTCAGAATTTGGCAGACCCTGTGTCAGAGTAGTGTATGTATAGAGAGGTAACAGAAGTGATTCTGTTGTGTACATTTCTTAATAGATTGAAGATGTGTTCCATTACCGAGGCAAGATCTAAAATTGGACACCTTGCTACCTGTCTGTGGGAATTTTTCATATTCCGAGGAGTTCTGTTTCAAAAAGGAGGAACTGAAAGGAGAAATAGAAAAATAAGCAGCTGTTGAATTACATAAACTCTGTATTTCAGTCTGTATCTCATTTAAATTGTGAAACAACAGAACCTAGAAAGAGCCCACTATGGTTTTTTTGTCAAGCACCATTTTCTAGTGATTAGGGTTCTTGAATAGCTTTTATTCCTAACACAGCCAGTGGCCTTCAGCATTCTGGAGTGATTCTGGGGTAACTACTGTGTTTGTGACCCTGTCTATAAAATGAGTGATATTTGCATCCTCTTTAAATCTTTCCAGGAACTAAAATTGAAAGGGACATAACCAAACTAATTGAAGGTAGTAGTGAGAATTAAATGCAAGTGCAAGGAGCAAATTTGACAGAGTAGCATAAATCCTGTCTAGACTGTGACTCGCATTATTTTTGGCAGGTGCATTTATTTATGGAAAATTCTCTTTTTATGTGTAGGCATCAACGTATTATTCATCATTAAACAAGCCATGAGACTATCAAATAATAGTCTGGAGTTATTTGCTTATAGAAGAAAACCTATTTGGAAAATACTATTTAATAGCAAAACTGATTTTTATCTTCACAACAATCCTGAAATACTTACAGAGTGTTTTCAGTAATGAGATTTGCTCCAGAAATAAAGGTCATAGTGAGTTGGATGCTATAAATTTTAAAGCGAAAAGAAAAAGTTTGTTTGGTTTGTTTTAGGGTTTTTGTTTTTTATAGACTTCTCTTTCAAAAGGATTTTATTACTCCTAGTGTTCACACTCAGTGTTTAACGTGCTGCCAGAACTTTCCGATGTGACACACTCAAGCAAGATGCAAGGCAATTTTTGGAATTTGTAGCTTATTTAAACAGCGTAAACCTTGAGAGTTGGTCCCAGATCTGTGTTTTTGATGAGTTACAAAGGCTTACAGAGTGGTAAAGAGAGGCCTTAGTGCCAAAAAAAAAATAATTAGTGTGTGCATGTGCACATGTGCATCCAAAAATTAGGCAGCCCAATAATAGGAGTTATTGCCAACATCCACTGAAGACCATCTCCGTCTCTTTCCAGATGATTCATCTGCATTTCTGTGGAACCACTTCGAGTTCCTTTCTGAAGCTGTATCTTCTGCATTTCCTTGAAATGCTTGTTTTTACCCCTCTTCACTCACTGATTTTTACTGTTAAAAAGTAAATAAGAGATAATATGAAGAAGAACAGAGGATAAAGATTGTACTTATTGTTATTTTTGCTAGTGTATCTGCATGTTGCAAACGTGAGAAAAAACCCAACTCCCATCACATCTTTTTAAAAATAACTTAAAAATCATATAAAGGAGTGTAATTTTTTGAGGTGGCTTTACTAGAACACTAATCCATCAAATTTTTTGTCCATTCAAGCTTATGTAAGTTTGTCTTCATAGAAAGCTTTTTAAAAAATTAATTCTGAAGCTTTAAACACCAAACCTTTGAAGTCCAAATGTTGTGGTTTAACCCCAGCAAGCAACTCAACCCCACACAGCCTCTTGCTCACTCTCCCCTGCTAGGATGGGGGAGAGAATCTGAAGGGTAAAAGTGAGAAAACTTGTGGAATGAGATAAAGACAGTTTAAGAGGTAAAGCAGAAACTGTGTGTGCCAGCAAAGCAAAACAAGGAATTCATTCAGCGCTTCCCACGGGCAGGTGTTGGGCCATCCCCAGTAAAGTAGGGCTCCATCTCGTGTGATGGTGACTGGGGAAGACAGAGATCATCACTCTGAGTGTTTCCCCTTCCTCGTTCCCCCTGCTCTGTGTGCTGACCGTGACACCATGTGCTCTGGGATATCCCTGTGCTCAGTAAGGCTCAGCTGTCCTGGCTGTGTCCCCTCTGTACTCCTTGTGCACCCCCAGCCTACTTGCTGGCAGGGTGGTGTGAGAAGCAGGAAAAGCCTTGGCTCTGTTATTGCTACTCAGCAGTAACAAAAACATCCCTGTGTTATCAACACTGTTTCCAGGACAAATCCAAAACACGGCCCTGTAGGAGCTACTGTGGAGAAACCAACATCGGCACACCAGATCTCTTCTTTCAGCATTTAAAAAGTCCATGTAACAACTACCGAAATTCCACGTTTTGATTGTTGTTTTTCTTTTCTATTTTAAAATAGGCCTTGATGTAAAAAGTGAAGCATGCCAGCGATTTTTTCGAGATGGGTTAACAATATCCTTCACAAAAATCCTTACAGATGAGGCAGTGAGCGGCTGGAAGTTTGAGATTCATGTGAGTTTTTAAAGTTGTGTTTCTGAAAAGGATGGTAATTTAAATAAGGGAGGAGACTGTAAAATCTGAATTTCATTTTTGAAACTCAGCAGTGAACTGTAAGAAGACTCTTGTATGCAGGGATTGGGGCAGGCAGAGGGGAGTCACCTTTCTGTCATTGTTTCACTTTATGGCCTCCAGTGTTTTTGGAAAGAAAAAAACCGTGAGAGATGATATGGGGAGGAATGGAACCATGTATGTTTGGTAGTGCAGCTCTTTTTGGGCCGGCTGTCTTTGGCCAGATGTCTGGAGACCTGCTTATTTTTATGTACGTACTAGGTCATAAAGGTTTTAGCAACCTGCTGACTCCTGAGTGTTTGTAGCAGCTGCTTGAACATAAAAATTACCTCCTGGACAGCTAGATACATGCTAAGTGAGAAACTGTAAAGATCTTTGTAAGCAAATTTAAAATCTATGAGAAAAATGGGAGAAAGAAGGAAAAGTTAATAGTACGGTGGTGATGCATGAATGTCTCATCCAAAAACATTTGTCTCTTTTCCCTAAATTTAATTTCTGGCTGAAAACAGATAGTTTAAACTTTGTTTAAAGGCTTTGTTGGAGGAAGTACAAATTAAAATACAGTGTTGTAAATCTCTTGTGCAACTCTTGCATGATGGGTACAGATGGTTCAGAGTTTGTAGTTCATATTCATTGTACAGTCACCTACCATGTTCTTAGTTGTTGCTTTTTTCTTAACAGAGATGTATTATTAACAACACTCATCGACTAGTGGAACTATGTGTGGCCAAGCTGTCCCAAGATTGGTTTCCCCTTCTTGAACTTCTTGCCATGGCCTTAAATCCTCACTGCAAATTCCATCTATATAATGGTACTCGTCCCTCAGAAACAGTTCCTGCAGGAGTCCAGCTCGCAGAAGATGAACTTTATGCCCGTCCTCCTGACCCACGATCACCAAAGGTATGAGAGCCTTTTCAGACCATAGTTTTAATTTCATGCAGTGTTACCTAATGACACAGTAGCTGTAGAGAAGTGGTTTTAGAGGGGGAGGGGACAAACTGCCTTTATTCTCTTTATCTCTGAGATGTTCTTCTGCTTATGACTCCTGGTAGTGATTTAAGGTGCAGTTCCCCTTCTAACTCCTCCTGTCTTTGGTCCACAATCAGATTGTGCCATGTGTTTCTGTGATAAGCTGGCACAACTCTCTTGGAATGCCATTCCCACTGTGTTAATTGGCTTGCTTGGGTTTGCCAGTTGATGGATTTGCCTTCTCACTTAACGTGATTTTGTAGATGGCACATTTTGAGGAGGGGATTATATGATAAAGTAGGAATTTTCTCTGCGTTTTCTAATAGTTTCCAATGATGGGAGAAATGTTTTTAGTTGGACATGGGATGCTAGTGTCTGTGGGTTTTGTTGGGTTTGGTTTGGTTTTGGGGGGGGGGGGGGGGGATACGTCTGAAGGTTTGGTTTTGAGGTTTTGTTTGGTGGTGATTGTTCCTTTGTTTCTGTAGGTGTGGTTTCTTGGGGTTTTGTTTTGTTTTGTTTTTTTTTAATGGACAGTGCAGATTAGTAATTTTCTGGTTCTTGGCTCTGAACTTTTTCAAAATTGAGCTCCAAGTGGCATTGATATGACATCAGGAGTTAATTACATTTTTTGGCTTTCTTCCTTTTTTTTTTTACCTTAGTAGAACTGCCAACTGTTAATATGTAAGAACCAAAGATAAAGAAGTACTAGGACTTCCTGGCATTGCTAGTGCTGTTTAGAAGAATGTTATTTTGCATTTTTAATGTCTTTATATGTGGCATTATCACATCCAGGACCAAGAGAAAGTACCAAAATTGTCATGCTTTCTGTAGTAACTCAGCAGCCAAAGCAGAACCTGAAGTATAGTCAATTTTATTCCTATGTATTTGATAAATTTCTTTGAACAGCATCTGTTCTTTGACATGATAACAGGAAAGATCGTGTTGCCTGTTTTTCAGCATTTCCTTAAAAATGAAAGCTGTTGTGTAAAGACTTTTTTAAAGCAAATTTTTGTTATTAACAGGTACTTGAAAGTATTTTTAGGTGGTAATTCGTAAATGTCAGAAAATAATTGTTTGTTATATTGCAGGGTTGGCTCGTAGATCTCATCAACAAGTTTGGCACATTAAATGGATTTCAGATCTTGCATGATCGCTTCATGAGTGGATCAGCATTGAATGTTCAGATCATTGCAGCTCTCATCAAGTAAGTTTTTTTTAAATAATAATTTATGCATTTGGAAAAGTTGACCTCAGTGTAAAATATTCTGTTAGCACAAAGCTTAGTTTTTTTTTGAAGCACTTCCTCTCATTCCATCTCTTAGCTGGTTGTGTTAACCTTCACCATTTCATGTACTTCTAAGTAGACATGAGTTTCTTGAATTAATTGCACTGTACTGTCATGATATTACACAGCTACTGATTATGGCACTTTCCCCTTTTTCTTTCTTTTCTAGGCCATTTGGACAATGTTTTGAATTTCTAACATTACATACAGTGAAGAAATATTTCCTTCCAATTATAGAAATGGTTCCACAATTTTTAGAAAATTTAACAGATGATGAACTGAAAAAAGAAGCAAAGAATGAAGCCAAAAATGATGCTCTGTCAATGATAATCAAATCTCTAAAGAACTTAGCTTCAAGAGTTCCAGGACAAGAAGAAACTGTAAAAAATTTAGAAATATTTAGGTTAAAAATGATACTTAGGTAAGATGCTACTTCTAATATGATATGCCACTGCTGACATTTTCTTCCACACTTCTTACATTAAATCTCTCTCACAGGTTGTTACAAATTTCCTCTTTCAATGGTAAAATGAATGCACTAAATGAAGTTAACAAAGTAATATCCAGTGTGTCATACTATACTCATCGACATGGTAATCCTGAAGAGGAAGAGTGGCTTACAGCTGAAAGAATGGCAGTAAGTTCTCCTTTTCACTGAAGTTCATTGAATAGATTTTGTTTCTCCTTATTACTTTAATTATAGAAGTAGCTATATACTGTGGATACAGCACACACTGCCTGTGTTCATATCTAGTGTTAGAAACAGTAGGTGCCATGTGAAGGTAATAAGTGGTTTTAATAGTAGCCTTTCTGTGAAAAAAAGGTTGTATTCGTGTATTTGTGTCAAAGCTGCTGCTAAAAACATGCCTCAAAAATGGATCCTTGAGTATTGTGTGTTTTATATAGTGTTTTAAAAAACCCAAACAAACCTACATAAAAAAAAAGTGTGATTCATTTGAAACTTCAGTGCCACAGTAACTGGAAATTTAATGGTCCTTTAAATAAGGATTTAGTCTGGGTTTTGTGGTCCAGCTTTTTCTCTTTAGAGTTCCAAGTGACTACTCTGCTTTTCACATTTCAAAAACTGGATTCTGTGGTACAGAAAGTTTTAGATACCACATTTTTTTTTATTTAGTCTTTACATATTTTGAATACTGTTGCTTGAATGTATACATAGGGAACTATGAAAATGAATATTTATAAAGTTAAGAATGATTTTCTCTTCATCTTTGTGAAATTTAGTCATGTTAAGTGATTTTTTTACTGTTCTGCCCCATTACTGTGACTGGCCACCTGTTGTGAGGTTTGTAATTTACAAAAGAAAGAATAACTGCAGTGGGATTTTTTTAAAGCAATAGGAGGAAATAGGTCTATTTTTTGCGTATTCCCTACAGTTTGGCATCTCAGACAAGGTCTGTGTTTTTAAATGAAAACTTGTAGATTTAAGTATTTCATGAGACTAGACTGAATGTGGTAAGTGTGTCATCAAGGACACTGTTGGAAGGTTGCGGTGCTGTGGATGTTTGTTTTCTCTTTTGGTGTTCACAGCACACCCTCCTTTACTTCAGCTGGAACAAAACAGTCTGACCGTGTCAGTGACACCACTGAAAAAATTGCATCTACCTAAATATGACTTGAATATTTATCTCTAATTCAGTTACAAGCATTTCAAACCCTATAAGTGGCAGCACTGATATAATCTAATCTTTTTTATATTCCAGTCCTTAGGTCCTTTTTATGGGATATGCTGTAGGCATAGCAGTAAAGTTAGAAGTGTCTTAAACAGTTTGGTTTTGATATTTAATGGCTGTGAATTGGAATGTAAAAATTTTGTTCCTTGAATAGAGGCGTTAACTGTTCTTCACATTGACTTCTTATGTTTGAAGTCGTTTGAACATTTTTATGCTTTGAGTTCATGATTTTAATATGCCTGAAAAAAATTTCCCCTTAGGATATCACAGTGATGAGCATAATAGATTATTTTTAATGCTGATTTTTTTTTTAGGAGGAAATTAAAGTTAGGGATAAATACCTTCCCCTTGTGCTGTATCTCTCTTGCTTAATCTGTAATAGGTTGAATTTTTTCTTTGTAGTTTAAATGTCAATGATGACACCTGAATAATTTGAGATGGCACTACTTTTTTTTTTTTTTTTTTTATATTCAGGAATGGATCCAGCAGAACAATATTTTATCAATTGTGTTGAGAGATAGTCTTCATCAACCTCAATATGTAGAGAAGTTAGAGAAAATTCTCCGTTTTGTCATCAAAGAGAAAGCCCTTACTTTGCAGGATCTTGACAACATTTGGGCTGCACAGGTAAATAATTCAGCTGCTCGTCTGCTACTGCACGAGAGGGATGTTGTTGTATGTCATGTATTGAGAAGACAACCTGGGCTTCTTTTGCTTAGTGTTAGACAAAACTGAAGAAAAAATGGAAATCAAATAGTGTTCTTTTTTGGGGGCCTGGATCTCCAAACTGTCTTCTCAAATGTCTTCAGCGGAAGGGATCAGCTACACACATCTGGAAAGTCTAAAGGAACAGTTCAGAACATGGTGCAGAAGTTTACTCTTTCTAAGTATTAAGGAAGCTGCAGTGTCAAGCAAAGATGGGATACATGATGCTCTTAATGCATTTTAAAATATGAAGTTATGTATTGCTAATCTCTGAGTTCAACACCATTGTGTAAATTTTTCCTGGGCAGAGCATGATTAGTAAAACTTAAATAATAATATAATGATGATAATAATAATAGTGACTGTTCTAGAAGTTGTTTAAGTGCAAATTCTTTTCTTTGTGTTGTAAAGATTATTTTTGAAAAATTACAAATTTTGCAGTATTGACTTGTTTACTTAAATGTTTGGTGAAGCTGGTCTTCCTAGCTGTGGGTTGCATGAGTTTAATAAACAGAATGGGCAGCTGAAGAGATAAAATCATTAAGAATTATTGACAATACAGAAATAAAAAGTCATTTTAGGATAGAGAACAAGCACAAGTACATAGATCCTTTTTCATAAATAATGGGCAGTGAAAGTGATTGTAGGAGTAAGCCTTCAGGCCAGTCTTTCAAGTCTGGGAAGGCTAAATCTGATTAACAACACATAGAGCTGTACTGGTTTGGGCAGGGATAGAGTTAAATTTCTTCACAGTGGCTTTTGTAATAACTGTGTAAGTAAGGCAAAAGATTTACCTGTTGATCTCAACCCACGAATTTTCTCACTTTTACCCTCCTGATACTCTTTCCCCATCCCACTGTGGGTGGAGGGTGAGTGAGCAGCTGCATGGAGCTCAGTTGCCAGCTGGAGTTACAGCATGACAAGAGCTAATACAGGAGTTGGGTGATATTATATCCATAGTTTACATGTGTTCATGCTGTTCTGAAAATGTAACAGTTTGGCTTAAGTGGACTTTTCCAGATGTCCCTGTACTACTTTCAGGTTGCACTTCAAACACTTGGGCCTGGTTCAACTAAATTCATAATGTCTAGACTTCAATTCCATCCTGATAGTAACTGCACAGGCTGAAACTCAATAAAGTCTTTTCTCATTATCCCAAAGCCCTGTTCAGAAAATTGCATCAGGTAGCAGAGCAATACACAGATTACTTGTATTAGGGTCTGTGATTACAGTTACTTTTTAGCTTGTGATCTGTAGATATTTCCAGACTACAAGATGTCTGTGGGGCAAAAAAAAAAGAAACTTTGAGAGGTTAGTTTGCTGCTAGTAGGCTTATTTTAGCTATATTAGAGCCTCACTTTTGATAGTAGTTTTGCCCTGTATTTTTTTGTGAGGAAAAATTTATTTGTGAGAAAGTAATTCTTATTCAGGTAGATGGTTTCACTGCGGCTTTAGCCATGGAATTAAAATAGGCTAAAAATTAAGAATACTAAAATCTGCTAGTACAGAACAGTACAGAATGATTTTTACCAACTTCACTACTCCCTGTGTACAGTAGTTTTTAGAAGTTCTTATTAAGTGACTGTTGTAAGAGCAGCTGGAGCATGAAATTCAGTAGCGAGGAGTTGATTTACTGTGTAGCTTTATATAACAGGCAGGTTATTTTAGCTCAGCCTCTGCAGTAGTGGTGAGGTTTTGCTTTTGGGCTCAAGTCATTGTGCTGCTGCACCAGAGAATCTTAATTAAAAGCTTGAATAAAAATAAGTAGTTTATTAAAGTAATACAGTCACATTGCTTTTGCTTTTAGAAGGCAACCTGAGTTTTAATTTTACTGAAGTGTTTTCATGTCTTACAAAGCCACTACTCACAATATAGAAGTGTATTTGGTTCAGAGAGTAATGCTGGAAGTCTTTAAAGGTAAGCATTAAGCTGCAGCCTCTGGAGTTGCAGGGAAAGATCCAGCAGGACAAGACACAAAATGGCAGAGGTTGAGGTCTTATTATTCTGGAGTATTTAATTGGAACTTTACAGGCACTTCCTTGTTTCTGCAGAGCAAACAGGGATGTCACACACCATGTTCCCTCTCTCCTCCCACTGTCTGGTAGTGCTTCCCCATGTCTGTCAGAAACCTCCCAAGACAAGAGTTGCTACGTGCCTTATTCTTACTCTCCTTGCTCCCCCCCAGGAGCTGTGCATACTTCTGCTTTTATTTGTTATATTATAGATGCTCTTTTTGCCCTGCATGCTCTCAGGTTTTTTCTATCCAGGAAATAGTCTGATAAGAGAAAGAAATTATACAATATTTTGCAGAATCGAATGGATTTAGTAATTCCCCCTCTCATAATCTTACCCATAACATGAAAACCAACATTACTACTTAAATTCACTTTATTTCAAATGAAAATTTATGGCACACTATAAAGAATTTAAGGCACAGCATGTAACAAAACTATTAGTCTCTTTTTTGTTTTTAAGTGAATTACTGATGCAAGCTTTTAGATGGAATTGAATTTCAAAACTGCTTATGCATGTATTTTTAATAGTGTACAAAGATTAATTACATCAGAATGTGTATTCTAGGTATTTGATTTGCATTTTTTTTTTATTCCTTGCTTACGGAAAAATTTTCTACAGTAAATCAGTTGATTCACATAGTCCCAATTTGTTCATTTTGAGTGCAGATGTAAAGTACAGGATGCTTTTTTCCCCTTATTGCCCTCCTCCTTAAATGTCAGAATTGTCGTGTACACCAAACTCTGGGTTGAAATCATGTCTAGTGTAATACTGAACATCCTGTCCTTAGTTGTTAAATTGTTAGATTTTTAAGATTAAAAGCTACTGGACTTTGAAATATGGTCAGCCAACAAGTTGTTTGTAATAGAAAGCTTTAGTTGTCTGTGAATGCACTATCACAAAGGAAGTACTTCAGCCTGAGAAACTACATGGAAATACTAAAAACTGGTTTACAGGTTACAACACCTCAGTGAAATTCATTGCAGAAGTGGATTTTGAGTCCTTTCTTAAAAAAAAATAGAAAACCACACAAAACAACATTAAATTAAAATACTGATTTGTAAGTTAAAATACCCTTTTAGACTTTATTGTTCACTATCCCGGTTCAATTTTGTAACAGCAACAAAAAAATAAATATTTTTGTATTTATATTCTAAATAAATACTTGTGCACACACACAGAGGACACTTAAATACTCACACATACAGGGAAATCTAAATATTGTGAATTCCCAGTAAAGCAAGTATTCAGTTTGCCATGCTGCTCCCACAGCATCAGCTCTTCTTGCTGGCCCCCTCAGACAGTGTGCTTGTAAAAATGGTGTTGGATGTCTTGCTGCTTGACTTAAATATGAATTGCTGCTAATGGTAGATTCTTTTTCTCTTCTCGACAGGCAGGAAAACATGAAGCCATTGTAAAAAATGTACATGATCTCCTTGCAAAATTAGCTTGGGATTTCTCTCCTGAACAGCTTGATCACCTATTTGATTGTTTTAAGGTAATTATGCATGTTTTGACTGTAATCAGGAAATGAGTTGTGAGGTTTCATGCAGATTTGTGGCTTTTTCAGTGTCTTACTTTCTACTTATTTTAGATAGTTGTTTTCCGTGTGTTAAAAGACTTCTTAACGTGTAGCAAGTCTCTAATATTCAATTCTAGAAATGCTTTTCTTTAATGAGCACTCCTTGTGACATTTTCTATTTACTTCCTGTCTAAACAAAGGCTAGTGATGCTTGTTTAGTAGACAGTTTTGTTTTCTGGTTTGAACACTTTAGGGTCACGCACATCTCTTGAAGTATTAACGTGTTAAAGTTACCTATTAATATTAAAGTTACCTTTAGCAATCCTAGGAATATAGAATACCAAATAAAATAAGTTACTTATCCTAAATACCTTTTTACATTTGTTCCAAATTAATAAATGTTGGTGATTTAGTAAATGATGTTTTTTCTCCTGGCATTAGAGTAGGTTTTGTCAGGTTTACCAGGCAGTGCTACTTTTGATCTTTAAGTGGAGGAGATCAAGGACTTCCTTTCCACACTCCCCCAACTTCCTCTTTATCATGTAACGATTTTTCTCTGTTTAGCACACATACTGAATGACACAGCCCCAGGAAGATAAAGTTGAGTGTTTATAAACATATAATGATTTGATTTGAAATCACAAAACAACTTGTTTCTGAAAGTTTAGTTACTCACGGGCTTTTTATGTATAACATTTAACATCTACAGCTTCCAGTAGTGGTGCTCTCTGACTTGTTTTACTGTTTCACTTTCAGGACATCATCTGCTGTTTCACTTTTAGGACATGATGAGCTTTGTAGTCTCTGTTTTCTGTTTTTAGATAAATGCATTATGAGCATATTTTGACTTACGTGCAATTTGTGCTCTCATTAATGGGGTCCTGTAGTTTGGTGAATATGGGTCCAATGTTCTGTAGTTCAGATGCTGAACTCAGTGCTCAGAAACTCTGTGTGTAAACTGTTTTCTCAGACCTTGAGAGATGGATATAAAGTGATGTTATACTGAAAACTTTCTCAGAAAAAAGTTAATTTAATTCAGGGGACATTTGTTTCGGTCAGATTCAGAGGCACACATGATATTAAAATTTTACTCACATAGTAATTAGAAGTTATCTAAGAAGTCTTTAAAGAATAAGCACAGGAGTTTTCTGAAAAGCATTTGCAAGAAACAGCTGAGTCCACTCTGGCCGTTGGTGAACTTGTCAGTGGTAATGTTAACTTTTACAAGAACATGTATGATCTTTAAACAAAGAGCTGCCTTCTTTTAAGCCTCAAGTTGAATACACTTTAGTTGTAAACACTAGAAGAACTCTTCAGTTGTGTCTGGCTTATGTACTACGAGCTCTAATGTGCTCTTGGTTTTTAATGAAAGAAATGAAAGTTCTTCATGTAGTTGCATCACTTTATTGTTGCATCATTTGTTAACAGTGCAGGTTATGTGTGGAGTTTAAAAAAAAAGACTGTTTTTTATAATATTTTTTTAAAATATTAGGCAAGTTGGACGAATGCAAGCAAGAAACAGCGTGAGAAACTGCTTGAGTTAATTCGCCGCCTCGCAGAGGATGACAAGGATGGTGTGATGGCACACAAAGTGCTGAACCTTCTGTGGAATTTGGCTCACAGTGATGATGTACCAGTTGATATCATGGACCAGGCTCTTAGTGCCCATATTAAAATCTTAGATTACAGCTGTTCACAGGTGAGTGATCTGGTATGTTCTGCTGTGAAAGAAGTCACTGAAGTTTCCCTCCGTTTCCCATGAAAAATTGAAGGGATTTGGTAATTTAGCAAAAGTGTTCCCTATCATACATTTGTATTATTGTACTGACAGCCTGGTACTTTTAAAATGTTATGGGACATATTTTAATTAACACAGTTAGTGTTTTAATTGGAGGGAGTGAAATTCATCAGTTTGCCTGTCTTGGTGCAATTGCTGAAGAGCACACTGGAAGAACTGGAAATGGACCCTGCCAAAGTAAATAGGGAGAAAGGAAAAGCAGCCTCACTCCTCCTGTCTTTGCTTTTTCCCAAACTCAATTATACTGATCTTTTTTTTTTTTTTCCCAGTAAGTCCTTATATGTGTTGTATAATATTAGAAAGGACCTAGCAAAGGTCCTTTCGAAACTACTACACACACTCCTTCCCCACCCAAAGTTCTGTGGAAGTCTGCCAGAGCACTACTTCATTATGGTCCAAAATTAATCCATTATCTGTCTTGTTAAGTGAAGAAACAGTTTGTCATTGGTTTTTGGTATTTTGTAACAGTGAGTAGAAATAAATGAAAGCTTTAAGAGAGAGCGGATTATTTAAGCACTTCTTAAATAAGTGCTGAGTGCTTGAAGGCACGGAGTTTGTGACACGCTGGTGACTTCTGCCAGCATATCATGCTGCTCAGATACTTTCCTTATGCTTCAGAACTCAGGTGATTTAGCATTTGTTTGGTGTTGTATGTGTGTTCTGTCTTGGAAACAGTGAGGGAATATACAGTTTTGCAATGTACTTGATTTTGATTATGAACTGCTGTTCTTTAAGGATCGAGATACACAGAAGATCCAGTGGATAGATCGTTTTATAGAAGAACTTCGCACAAATGATAAATGGGTCATTCCTGCACTGAAACAAATTAGAGAAATTTGCAGTTTGTTTGGTGAAGCACCACAGAACTTGAGGTAAGAATTGAATGCATATGGAGTTTCCTCTGCCAAAAGGCAGATGGGTTGGAATGAGGCAAATTTAACTTTTTTTTTTACAGAAAGTCAGTAAAACTTAGGTAAAACCATAACCTGTGTTGGAAGATGTTCTTGAGTTTGTTTTAGTATGTATAAATAACCTCTAAAAATTCAGGCACCTAAGTTCAGTAAGAGACCATTAACTACTTCTTCAAACATGCTTTTATTAATTTTTGTAATTGTAATCTAGTGGAAAATCTGAGTTTGCTTTTCTGTTATTCATGGACTTCCCTGTCTAACAATGGAATTAGCTTACAAAGTATATTTTATGTTTTTGTGTGGACATATGCACACACATCCAAAACCACAAACATACCCACCTATCCCTGTTCTTTGATGACAAATTCATGCAGGTCATCTAGTTTATATGCTTAAAATCAAAGGTGACTTTTTGGTCTGAGAGAAATACTCTACTGATTTTTCTCTCCTGAACAGAATTGTTTTACTGGGGGGAGGGAGTTTGCTTGTTTTGTGTGGGGTTCATTTGATGGTTGTTTTTAAAAGGAAATAAAAATGAAAAGCAGTTGTCTGTTTGGACTTGTTAAAATATATGTGCTTGTTTTAGTTATTTTAAATGTCTTCTCACTGCAGAAAGAGCTGAAATTCTGTGCCCCTATCAGTATTTGTATCCACATCAGAATTTTTACAGACTCCTGAAATTTGCTTATCAGTGGTGCACAATTGCTTTGTCTTAAAACTTGTGAACAGATAAACTATTCAAATCAGTGTTGCTGTTACAGTTGGTTTACAGCAAAGATCAAGTCAGGGAAAGTTAAGGAAAATAAACCTCAGTTTGCACAACACTATCTTCTTACTGATACCATATTCAGGAGCTGTGATAATACTGCATTCCTGGCTTTTAGAGTTTTCTTTATTCATTTAGTTTGCAACATATTTCTCAACTTTTCCATAACATTTTAATCCTTTACAGTTTCACATAAATGATTGCTTGAGGTTTATCCAACAAGGTCACAGAGTCACCTGCTAATTAGGAGAAAAGTTTGTTTTCTGTGTCCTGGAGTCCTTAACCTTTTTCATGCTGTAAGATCCAGGCAAATCAAGCTACCTGATCATGCAGAGTGGTTGTTCAATTTGAATGCTTTTAACACAGTGCCTTTAACAAAGATGCTTTGCTTTAAGTAATTATTGAAGCAGAGCTCATTCAAAGTACTGATTTAGGTTTCTGCTCTGAAGTAATCTTGGGAGGAACCAAACTTCTTTTGGTTGTGGAAGTTTAGGTTTCCTGTATGGTCTGTGTACAGTTAGATGGCTTGAATGTCTCTCGTCTTTGTTTAAAACCATCTCATCCTCAGATTTCCGGGCAGTCTGCATTGCAGTATGTAATAACACCTCATATTTATGCAGGATTTGAAAACAAATATGGCAGGAAAGTAAACTTTGAATTGCAAGTTTTAATCAAGGGACTTACAAAGACCTCTTCCTGTGGAGCATCCTTTGTTAGCAAGATACTGTTGAGGGAGTTTTTTTAGTCAGATATTATTACTGCCCAAGTGGCTGGGAAACCTACTGAGTGAAAACATCATTTTGAAATAATCACTGACTTTTCAGCCCGCCTAGTTTTCTGATAACTGTTGATAAGGTTTGGAAATTGTAATCTATGCCTCCCATACCTCTTTCTATCACCTTATCTGACTTAAAACTTTAATAGCTAACATCCTTCTAGCATTTGGATCAAAACCAGGTCAATGTAGGCGTATGTGACTGCTGTCTGAAAAACATGTCTGAGAGCTTTCTGTGTGCAACAGTAGTCCCATTTATGCTGCTCTTTTGGGGTGGTCCAGTTGATTGGCAGTGGCAATGAAAAGTTCAGTCCAACAGCAAAGGCTGCTGATTCTTGGCAAAACTAAGTATAAATTATCTTATGCCATTGGCACTGTAGAAATTCTTTTGGGAGGGAGGTTTTAATTGTTGCTAGTTATTCATGCAACAAAGTTGAACAAAGTGATGAATTGGTTGTACAATTGCTTTGGCAAAATTTAGCTCCCTGACCACAGAGAAATGCTACACGTTTTGGGAAGTTCAGCTTAACCAGAATTACAACAGAAAATAATTCTTATGTAAGTGCAAGGACTCTTACAGGTGCAAGGACACTTTTTAATACTGAGAAAGAGTCTATTACTCAACATGCTGACCTTTACTGTACAGATAATTAATCATCTTAATTTTCTCTGTGTTGGCTGATGGAGGTAGAGCCTCCTGTAGACTAATGTCAAGCACTTAAATTTGACCTGTATCTACCTGAGCAGTATAAGATCCATCTCCTAAATTATTTACCCAGAAGAATTAATTGAGCATTGACAGTTCAGGGGTTTTGGTAGTGCTTTAGAGCAACAATGATGCTTCAAGTCACTTTTTAGCCTAAGTAGTAGAATTTGCTGGGATTGGTCACTGCTGTTTGGATTTTTAATGGTACATAGCATTTGTTCATTTAGCAAAGCAACTCTCATCTTCAAAAGCTGAGTTATATGGGCAGTATTATGTTGGGCAAGATATATGTGCAGATAAATATTTTTTTTAATCCGTTTAAATTAAGTTGTTTGGAATTTTGCTTTTTTCATTTTGCCAGTATTTTTCTAGCAAATAAGCATTCTGGCTATGAAATGTCCTTTTTTGTATTGCCAAAATACTTCATCATCCATTTCAAAATGCTGTTTTTTCTTTTTATACATTGGCTTTGGGTATCCATTTAGTAGGAACACAATGAAAATCTGAGTTTTGCTGTTAGCTTCAATTTTTCGTGCTCCTCAGTTGTTACACATTAATGAGTGTGTAGTAACTAATGTGTAATAATATTACACATTAAATGAATGCGTTCTAATGGCAACATCATAACACAGTCTAACCTTAGATGCTTAAGGAGAATTTTAGTTGCATGTAGAATTTGCTTAAATACTAGAAAGCATGCTAAAAGAGCTTGTCAGATCAGCTTTTTTTCCTGTGCCTGAAGACAATAATTTTGCCTTTGACTTTATCCCAACAGATGATCAAAATAACATCTTGAATGTTGCTCACAAACACAGTGTAACAGCTCACAAATCGCAGCTCATAACTCTAGTTATTACAATTATTCAGCTTTTAGAAATAGTTGCTAACCAAGGTGAATCTGTGTGCAAATTTACTGTTTGTGCACGTAGTTGAGAAAGGAGAGAAGTGAATAATATCTAACCCAGAACATTGTAGTCTCCTGCTGGTAAAGCTTTTGTGTTGCTGTACTTTGTGAGATTGATACAAATGCTTAATATTATGAGTATAAATATACACTTCAATATCTTGATTCTGCAAAACACTCCATCTTGCTTCTGTTTGCTCCTTTAGTCGTTTCATGATGTGTATTTCCCAAATAATCAGTGTTCTTATTTACTGTTACCCTTTGTGAATGCAACTCTCTGTCTAGAGCTAACATCTTGGGTAGTCACTAAAATAGAGATATTCCAGCCTTTTCCTGTGTTTGCTGCTGGTTCATTCTGAGTAAGGAGGGTTGGTGGAGATGGAATGAAACATAATTGGAAAGTTTCTTAAAGTGAAAACAAAGAATGTTCCGAGTATATGAAGTTCTGTATGTTTTTTCTTTTATGCATCCATCCATTCTGTTTTCTCTCTGACAGAGATCTCAGTCTCCCGGTTTCTTTTTAACACAATTTGTGTTTTAAGTGCCACTTCCAAACTGTTTTAGAAAATTCTGCATATTATGAAATTCAATCTTCTGAAGACCACAATGCTTAGGAGGGCAAATTATGTTGGTTGCAGATAACAAAATTATTGGCAGGGTGTTGATGGCTTCTGTCTTTTAAACCCAAATTGGCAATGATCTTTGGTCCAGTGAATCAATTTATCTGTTGTTGTTACATCTACAGTGAAATGTGGTTATCAGCTGCAAGATCATTGTCAGCTGGTGCTGGAACTGGCATTTTTTGCCTTCCCCACTGTTCTCTAAGGTTGTGGGGATACTGTAGAGTGCTGTAGGTCTTGTAGTGTGGAGACCCTGTTTCCTAGAAAGGATGAGGATTCCTACCTGTAATCCATTCAGGTAATTCTAGGGTCTACTTTTTGAAGTGTTGAAGGAAAAGAGGACAATTCTGAAATGACATTTTTCTTTCCTCAGGGCAGGCTATGGGATCAGTTGAGTGCTAATGAGGAATTTCACTCTTCCCCCTGACACCCACTTGTTTTCTTTTTTTCTCTTTACCATGGAAGAGCAGCACTAGTTTGCCTTGTTTATGCAGTCCAGATCAGTGCTCTGATCTGCAGCTACAGCAGTTGAGACATTTTGAGAGTGTTCTGCAGAGGTGATGAGTCCCCAGGTTCTAGAATTTGATAGTGTTCATGGCATGTGGGTCTTGGACCCAAGCTTTTTATTTTCTTTTGCAGTTTACTTTTGTAATCTAAATATGTCTAGTGTTGTTTAAGAGCAGCATTTTTTACCAGGTCTTGAACTTATAATCTGATTATTTATTTGGGTTATTTATTTTTTTGAACTTTTCTGGATATTTTTTTTTTGTTTTGACTCTATGCTTTGTGTGTCTTTTTTTGTTTGCACCAACATTTTTCCCAGATATCGTTAGAAAAAAAAAACAATACTGTTTGCAGGTTTTTTTAACTGTTGTGGTTATTCACTAGTGTTCTTTCATTGTGGTCTCAAGTTTTACTTAGTGTTTTAATATTAAATATAGAAAATATCAGATGGTTGAGGAAGAAAATGAGTTGTGTGTGTTGTAGTTACACTACAGTTGAGGGTCTCTGTCAATACTGTGCACTTTGTGGGCAGGTATTTCTAGTCTGTCTTGCTGCAGGTATTCTCCCTCCAGCACACTGAGTTGCTCAGATCGCTTTGATATTTTTCATACACATTGTAACTGTATAATCCTCACAAATTCGCTGCTTTTAGTAACTGGTAAGAACTGTTGGTGTGTCAGAAGAAAAAAAGGAAAAATATTGTCAGAAACTTAATATGATTTCTATTCAAGATCCTCTAAGAACTTGCATCAAAGATTATTTGCTTAAATTGATTTCTGAACTGTTAGGTGCAAGACTTCTCTACTTTTCCTCTGACATTTGTATTTTATTTTCAGTCAAACTCAGCGAAGTCCCCACGTATTTTACCGACATGACTTAATCAATCAACTTCAGCACAATCATGCCCTAGTTACATTGGTTGCAGAAAATCTCTCTGCCTATATGGAAAGCATGAGGCAGTATGCTAAAGGTAAGCTTTAACAAAAAATTTGCCTCAGAGAGGGTGTATGAAAACTCCAGTTGAAAATGGAGTTAAAAGCAAATTCCCATAATAAAATAACTATGAAGTTTATTTGTTTAATTTCCAGATGTCTGTGGGGTTGAAAGCTCTTGTGGTGTCTGATTGCATAAGAAAAGTTTAAAATGCTATTTTTTTTCTTTTTTATAATTGAAAATGTGTGTTTTATAGTTGAACATGAGGAAGTGGCAACTCTCATTTATCTGTGGATTGATAAACATCATCTTGCCCTACTTAGGCTAGGGTAGTTATTTTTGTGGAAAATCCTAGTAGTAAAGCTTCTAGTTTTGAATTTTTGAAGGCTCCTTTGAGAAGCTTTTTTAATCGCCTCCTTTTGAAGTCAGTATTTGGAATTTGTCAGGGAGAAGGACTTTAAACCACAGGGATACCATTTGTTTTTACAAGGTAACTCCCGTATCTGTTCAGTTGCTTTCTCACTGCAGTTGTTACTGGCAACACATCGTGTTAGTATTTATTTATTTTAGGCTAAACTCAGCCATTCGCTGATGAATTTACCCTCATACTCTGGATTAACTTTTAGCTACTGAGGTGGAAGTGTGGAAGTGAAGGATAATGGTGGACCAGGAGACTCCTTGTTACACTAGACCACAGTATTTTAATATAAAATTAAACCAACAGAAGTGGAAGGAGGAGGTTTACACCCCTCCTTCTCCACCACTGACTTTACTGACTGGAACCAGGGACTGTTTTCTACCCTGGCATCATAACATCCTGCCAGCCTTTCATTTGCTTCTCAGATACGGCACAGTGTGTTGTGGAGGAATTCAGTGTAGACAGTCCAGAGAGGACAGGATATTTGCACATTCTGAAGTTTGTGTCTTACGCCACTAGGAAAGGTTACCTAGGCACCTTTAATTTTGGATTTCATTTAATTTTGGAGTACTAAATATATATTTTGTATAAAAGATACCGAAAATATGTCCTTGAGGATATTGTGTGAATAGTGGTGCTCTGTGAAGGTGGTCGCTTCTACCAGGTATAGGTCAGTGAGAATGACATTTAGTTAAATCTGCACACTGCAAATACATTTCTCTATTCAGGAATACATGGGAGTATTACCTTAATTTAAGTTCCTTAATTAATGATAGCACTGCACTAATTAGTGTTAAAATGATACTAAATTATTTGGTCTGTTCTCAAGCCATAGTGTCTTAGCCTTAGTCTTCACAGGAAGGTGGAGTAGAACAAGTATTAGTGATGTAACTTCTGTAAGCTGTTGGAGTGCTCTTTAACTTTGCTAAGATGCTGCAAAAATGCCATTTTATTTGTAATGAACTTCACATTTTAACTGTATTGATATCTTATAGTTTGTGATTCTGTTCTTCTTTCTCGTGGGCTTTGACCAGCTGTGAAATCTGGGGTTTGGCCTCAGGGTTAGGAGGGAAACATCATGAACAGCTGTTGTATTCTAAAGCAATGCTGTCTTTGTCCAAAAATAACCTACACATGCTGTTGGTGTATGAACTATTTTTCATTCATTTCAATCACATCCCATTGCCCTGCCCCTCCCCAGCTATAATGACTCAGTTAAGTGGGAATATGAACATCTTCAATGTGATAGGAATTGCATGTGTGTGAAGGCTTTAAATTTAATCTAATTACAAAGCAATTAAATTATGCTTTCCTGAGACAAAGCTGTTGCAGAACTTCTCATTTGCATCAGAGAACAAAAACAGATGAATAATAGTGTGGATTTTTTTTTATTAGATGCTTTATTACATTATTGAGGGCAACCAGAAAATATCTCCTAATGTTCCACATACTGTACTAAATAAGACACAGTTCCTGTGCAAAAACTCTTTAATTTTCAGCTTTATATACTAAATAGAGCAGAACATAGAGCACTGTGAAGTTTGTCTTCCATGCCTTAGTGGAGGAGGAGGAATATGCCAGGGGGGCATATAAATGAAAGGGAATAAATGAAAGGAGAAAAAAGATTATGCATGTGAGGACAGAAAGAACTGGAAGCTGTAAAATTAAGCTTGGCTGGAGAAGGTGAATGAGACAGAGGGAAAAAATTCAAGGCAAACGTCCAGACAGCACAAGTCAAACAAATGCCATAGAAATGAAAAATCCAGTTGTCAACAGATCTCTTTGGCAGTTAACACTGCAATTATTGTGTAATTTTGGATATTTTTAAATTAATTTTGAATTTGCCATATTTTTCTTTTCCTTGAAGGCTTCCATAGTTGTGTTCTCTGATGGAGAACAGTGCTCCTATTCTCCTGTTATTCACTAATGCATAGTATTTTCTGTGACAGTCACTTCTGTATGTTTACCTTGTTAAAGAGAAGCCTAATCTATGTTTCTGAATTTTTTCCACGCTTTATGATTTTCCCTTCTACTGAACTCACCCTTTCCTCCAACTCTCCGAAGTCCTCCATGAGATGAGACAACTGCTATTGCATTTTGTAGTCCTGAAGGAGGTCACAGTTTCATCTTTCTGATGATTTATCAAAGATCTTTTGAAAATTTTAGAAGATTGCTAGTCAGTTCTCTTTTATATTCTGTTTTTCTGAAGTAATAAAAAAATCCAAAGTGTTAATGAAATGTAATTATTTGTAGAAATTGTGCCATATGATCTTCCATGTGTGTTTATCACTAATTAGACTTAAATTTTCAACTAGTTGTTTTTTGATCGCTAATTTCTCTGTTCATTCTTCTGCTCCAGTATGTAAAAACAGTTTTTAAGGAGATCACATTTGGACTTGCTGTGGGATGCACAGATTAGAAAATAAATCTGGCAGATGTAGAAAGAATGTGATATAGATAATATTTAGGGAGACAGAATTTTTCTGTAGTTCAGTGTTTCAGAATTCTGAAGTGCATCCATATTGCCTTTGGGCAGCTGGCTGGGTTTGAATATTTGACTTTTGTCGTTGCCAGTGTTGATGTTGTTGTGTCTGTGAATTAAACTCCAGTCAGGAAAAAAAATCCCAGATAGTCCCCATAGTGAAAACAAATGAACACCACCACCACCAACTCCCCCTCAACAAAATAAAATCAAACAGAAAACCCACCCAGAACGCCCAACACTTCAAGTAGTTAGTTTTAATTTCTCTGCAATATGCTTATCTACCCTAATTGTTTCTTATTCTGGAGCCACAGCATATTTTACCAGTTTTCTGCTTTTAATACTGAAGTAATTTTTGTTTGGCTACCTTTATATTCTTTCTTCTGATTTTTTTTTTTCATATTTCTTCTTTTGATAATTGCCCATTTATGATTACTTCATTAGGGTTATAATTTAAATTTTCTGAAGGATTTCCAGTGAACATAATGTCTCCAGTTTAGCAGACATCAGTTAACTACTAGTCTTCTGTTTCCCTTTTTATTTTATTTTTAAGGTAATGTACCTTTTACACTTGGATACAGAGAGCAATATTGACAATAATTTTTCTCTTAATTTTGAAACATTGATGGACTTCAGCTGTTAGACTGGTTTGGTTTGGGTTTTTTCCCCCTCCCTGATATGAGATACTGATTTTCAGCTCTGAAGATAAATTCTAGTATTAGTCTTGATGTTGTCATGACACAGTCTGTCATGGCTGGGTCATCTTAGCTAAAGGCAATTTGTACACCTTTGCAAATAAGAGATACAGCATTCATTAGTTTATAAGGGAGCTGTCATAATGAACATGTGTCATGATGAAATACTGTTAGTACAGATGAAAGTAGTCTGTGCAGAGATCTAGATTGTATCTCTTTAATTAATAAAACCCAACCAACCAACCTAACACCAAACAAAACCACACCAACACCTGTGTTCCTGTGAAGCAAGCAGCTGTTTGTTAAGCAAAATATTATGCTAAGATTTGACAAAATGCAGGTAGAAGTTTGACTTCTTGCCTTATTTTAAAATTACTACTTCTGTTTTTCAAGCTTGTCAGTATTACAGGCATCTGGGTCTTGTATTTGGAAACTTAGAGTAGATAAAGTTGTCTTATTTTCTTCCTCTGAGTGATGTTGTGTACATAACTACTTATAAAGGTGTTAAAGAAATGCAGAAATTATTTCCTCTGGAGAGGAAGAAGTCCAAAAATGGAAAATTTAAATTTTGGAAAAGATGTTCTGTAAGGAAACTAAAGCATCCTCAGCAAAAAACCCCGCTGGATAATCTGAATTATATGTTTGGTATACTTCCATTTTTAACTGAATTCTGGCTTCAAACTGACTACCTAAAATTAGGAAAAATTGATTTGAAGTAGAAGAATGCAGGTTCCTAATTTTTATGTAATACTTTGATTGAACAGTGAGCACATGTATTTGCACCTAATTGTGGATTTAATTATAGACCTTGGTGGTCTTTGCCTATACTCATTTTAATCTAGGACGAAATACTAACAGGTAGCAGCTTGGTGAAAACTCTTTTCATGCACCTTACTGAAAATTTGCTGGGTTTTGAGTGGTTTTGGTTATATTCAGAATAACAAGTCCTCAAACACATCCTGTCTTGTGGAGTCAGCATGCCTTTTCTGAATGTCTTGTCTTTTATTTGCAGAGCATGGGGAATATGATCCTCAAACTGTAAGGCCAGGAAGCAGATACAGTCACGTGCAGGAAGTACAGGAGCGACTCAACTTCTTACGGTAAGTTTTAACTTGAATATTTGTTTGACTTCTGTAAGAATACTTTGAATACTTTAAAGAAAAAGAAACCCTTTGCATTTCTTTTTCTTCTACAGCTTTAAGTTGTTGTGTTAACTTCTTTCAAAACTCAGATGCAAAAATACACTGAGTGGTTTTGTTTTGGTTTGTTTTTTATTTCCTAGAGGCTTCTATGCTACTGTTGGAATATTCAAATAGAGTTTATTAGGATCTTTGCAATCCAAGGCTCTCATTCTGCACTAGGATTTGTGTGTTTTTTTCCTGTCTGTGTGTAGAACCCTACTGACTTCAATACAGTGTGCAGGTGGATGCAGTTACATACCTATTGGAGTAACTTAGCTGAAAGTTTAAAACGTTCCCAACAGGGATATGGCCATGTGTCCTTATTTCTTGCACCACACCAGATTTAAATCCACAATCATAACCTGACATATACTTTTGTCAGCCACTGGTGTTGTTTTGTCAGCAACTGAGCCATAGAAAGACACTGGAATAAAATTATTTGGATGACTTTTGGCCATCTGCTGTTTGAGAAAACAAAGGATCTCTGCTCATCAGAGAGCTGCTGTATGTTGATGCTTTTTAGGCTGGCTTGACTTTATCTCAGTTGTTTTTAACCTTTTTTTAGATAAGTAAAAATACTTGAAGTGTCAAATTCTGACATATTCTTTACTTGTTTTCTAATGGAGATTTTTTTACTTTTTAAAATTTTACCAAGAATTTTTATGAATTAATCTTATGTGTTAAATGGTTAATGAACTTATACAATAACATATGGATAGGCTTAATTTATCACTCCTGCATGTTAAATATTGTAACTTCCTTAGATTTAAGTTCACTATTTGTTAATGTACACAAATTTATGAAGTCCCACAGTTGTTAAATGTAGAATATATAGCAATTTCTGAAAAGCAGTGCCGTAACTTAGGCCCTGATTTCTTTTACATAGAAAAGATTTTCAATCAGAAAAATTATTCTAAAGAACTTTATCATTTGTTCCTCCTGAAAGATCCTTAGTGTTAGCTCTCAGAATTGAAGTTCTTAATAATTCTGTCTTAATAGTTTAACACAAATGAAAAACTTGGTTAAATAAAAGGAAAAATTTCCAGTTCATTGACTTTATTCTGTAGAGTTGATACTTTTTTTTGCAATTTTGCTAAAGCAAGTGTTAAAACATTGTGAGTGCTCGCAGAATTAATTTATTCTCTTATGTTGTGACCTGACTTTTAAACTAAATAGTTTACATTAGGAGATGTACATTTCTTTATGTATAAAATGTAAACAGTGCTTGGTATTTTTGTGCAAGACATTTTTTGCTGAATCTTATTCCTTTTTTATTTGGAATATAAAGTCTTGATCTGTTTAAACTTACTAAGAAATCATGGGGCTAATTATGATGTAAATAAATGTATTCATGATGTAAATAAAGTTTTCAAGGTCATGCTTATGATACATAAATGAATTACATATATATAGATATACATTCACCTTTGTGCCTGTGCTTTTTACTGAACTGTAACCCTGGATGTGTGTTAGAAGTGCTGTTAATTGTCTCTCTGTTTTGCTCAAGATTTTTATTGAAGGATGGTCAACTGTGGCTCTGTGCCCCTCAGGCGAAGCAAATCTGGAAGTGTTTAGCTGAAAATGCGGTTTATCTTTGTGATCGCGAAGCCTGTTTTAAATGGTATTCCAAACTAATGGGGGATGAACCAGACTTAGACCCTGACATTAATAAGGACTTCTTTGAAAATAATGTGCTTCAGCTGGATCCTTCCCTATTAACAGAAAATGGAATGAAATGTTTTGAACGTTTCTTCAAAGCTGTGAACTGTCGGGAAGGAAAGCTAGTAGCAAAGAGAAGAGCCTATATGATGGATGATCTGGAATTAATAGGATTAGACTACCTTTGGAGGGTGAGTTAATTGGAGGAAACATCTGAAAGTTTAAGTGCTGAGTCTTTCTCAGTCTCTTAATATTTTTAGGAATGTGTGATTTCATCTTGAAATTACAGAAATCTACTTCTTCAAAGTAAATGCATGACTTTTGACTCCACTGTCTTCCCAGCAAGTGTACAAGCTGGTAACTTTGCAGACTGATACTTGATGGAAAGTTGTTTGAAACATAAGTTTAGTTATGTATGCACATGAAATTAAAAATTTGCCTATACTGTTGAAGAAGAAAGGATCGTTCCTGGTGATTTACCTGTAGATTTCTCTTTTCTTTCACGTGTACATTATAATTAAACTTTGTTCCGTGCATTAATAAGCTACTTTATTGCATTCCTTGCGGTGTGGTAACCTGGGGTGATTCTACATTAGACCAGATGACCACTGCTCTGATTCTTTCTCTTACAGCCACAACCTGTTGCCTAAACCTGGTGGTTATGCAGGATCCACAGGTTCTGTATAGCCACCTGTTCTATACATATAAAATCTTCCTTTTCAATAGGAAGGTTGTTGCTTTCTGAAGCTTACCGAGTCTGTTGGGGAAAAACATCAGTATCTAATCTGTTGTGTAATTTTTTCAGAGTGTTCCTGGTTCTCAAGAGCTGCATTAAAACCCACAGTGGTGCACTGTGGCATGATTATCATGGCTGTGTTTTTGTAAAACATGTACAACAGCTGTCTCCAGTAATTTTGGTTGTGGCTTTTTGAAGGATTAGGTATTTTAATCCTGGTGATAATAGTTAAAACCAAAATAGATCACAATTTGTATACAAATAAATTCACACTGTTTGTGAACAGAGTGCCCACATAATGATAGCATGTTTTAGTGTTGGGAATCACCTTAATCTGGTCAGCATGACAAAACTCATTAAGCTTCAGCTCAGTATCCTACAGGGTTTGTCTGTAAAACCTACTTTCAGACCTGGTGACTAGTAATTAAAATTTAGATTATCATGTTAGAAGCAGAATTCATTTGCCTGTTCCCCTTCCACCTGCTCACAGCCATTTACGTATTTGAAAATTCTCTTTGGTGATGCAGGCTGTTCAAGCATATGAAAAAATAGTTTTCTTATTCTCTGAAAGTAGAGAAAATTGGAATATTATGTGAAGATGAATATATAAACACTAATTCTGTTCTGTTTATAAAACATCAGCTTTTTTTTTTTGGTCTGAACTCCTTTAAAACTAGCTAATTCTTAACCATGATTTTTATATAATTATCTTTAGTGTAAGTTGTTTTATTTTCTGTATCTAAGCATTTTAATCACTTTCACCTGATAAAATCATTAGACATACTGTTGTGTAAAGATACTTATGTAGTAGTTATGTTTTTAAATTTTATACCAGCAAGTTTTAAGATTTCTAATGCTTTTTTTTTTTTTTTTTAAATTATGCTAGGTTGTGATTCAGGGAAATGATGACATCGCCAACAGAGCAATAGACCTTCTTAAAGAGATCTATACTAATCTTGGCCCAAGGTTACAAGTTAATCAGGTAAAAAAAACCAACAAGAAAACTGAAATATGATAGAAAAACAGTAATAAAATTCAATTTGGTGATATTTTCATAGTTGAAAGATTCGAAAACAGAGAATAATTTTCATGTTTTGCAGAGTATACTCCTGAGTCCAACCATCAGTTTCTTGTCAGATGCAGAATTAAAGAGTTTTTTCTCATATTTGGAGGCTGAACTCTGATAAATTTTTCATGTTAAGTTTGTCTGTTGTATTTGACCCTTCTACTCAGAAAACAGTTAATGTCATATACTTAGGAAGACCTTTTGTGGAACTTTCAGTTGTGGCACTTATTTATACCAGCGTGTTCCCTGGCTGGGTCTGTGGAGTGTTGTCACAAGCTAATGTAATCTCTTTTTTCTGTCATGTCCCTTACAAAGGGTCACAGAGTTTCCCTGTATAGTGGTCAAGCTGAGCTCTAGCAAATCAGATATTATCTCCCTGTGTTAATATTTGCTGGGAGCTGCATTTCAGAGGGCAGAGAAGAGAAAACGAATTTCTGTGAGGTCAGAAGAAGGGATGTCATCCAAGGGTCCTTGATAGGCTTGAGGTGGGCCTGTGAAAATCTTCTGAAGTTGGACAAGGCCAAGTAGAAGGTCCTGCACTGCACATGGGTCAGAGCAATCCCAGGCACAAGTACAGGCTGGGAGGAGAATGGATTGAGAGCAACCCTGAGGGGAAGGACTTGGGGACACTGGGGGACAAGAAGCTCAACATGAGCTGTTGATGTGCACTCACAGGCCAGAAAGCCAAACATGTCCTAGGCTGCATCCAAAGCAGAGACGGGATTCTGCCCCTCTGCTCTACTCTCCTGACACCCCACCTGGAGTGCTGCATCCAGCTCTGACATCTCCAACATAAGAAGGGCATGGATCTGTTGGATTGAGTTCAGAGAAGGCCACAAAGATGATCAGAGGTCTGGAGCTACTCTTCTGTGAAGACAGACTGAGAGACCTGGCGTTTTTCAGCCTGGATAAGAGAAAGCTCTGGGGAGACCTTAGAACAACGTTCTAGTACCTAAAGGGGGCTACAACAGAGCTGGAGAGGGACTTCTTGACAAGGGCATGTAGTGATAGGGCAAGGAGAAATGGCTCTAAACTGAAAAGAGGGTAGGGTAAAATTGGATATTTGGAAGAAATTCTTCCCTGTGAGGGTCACTGGCACAAAGAAGTTGTGGCTGCCCCATTGCTGGAAGTGTTGAAGGCCAGGTTGGATGGAGCTTTGAGCAACGTGGTCTAGTGGAAAGTGTGCCTATGGCATGGGGGATTTTAACTAGATGATATTTGAGGTTCCTTCTGACCCAAACATTGTATGATTTAATGATTGCACAGATTTGGTGGAGGGATCATAGAATCGACCAGGTTGGAAAAGACCTCTGAGATCATCAAGTCCAACCCTTGATCCAACACTGCCATGGTTACCAGACCATGGATGGCACTGCTGCCACATCCAGTCTCATCTTAAAAACCTCCAGGGACGGTGAATCCACCACCTCCCTGGGCAGCCCATTCCAATGCCTGATTACTCTGTCTGTAAAAATTTTTTTCCTACTATTCAATCTAAACCTCCTCTGGTACAGCTTAAGACTGTGCCCTCTTATCCTACTGCTGGTTGCCTGGAAGAAGAGACCGACGCTCACCTGGCTACAACCTCCTTTCAGGTAGCTGTAGAGAGTGATGAGGTCTCCCTTGAACTTCCTCCAGGCTGAACAACCCCAGCTCCCTCAGCCTCTCCTCACAGGACTCGTGCTTGAGTCCCTTCACCAGCCTTTTGCTCTTCTCTGGACCTGCTCCAGGACCTCAATGTCCTTCCTGAACTGAGAGGCCCAGAACTGGACACAACACTCCAGGTGTGGCCTCACCAGCGCTGAGTACAGGGGAAGAATCACTTCCCTGGACCTGCTGCCACACTGCTTCTGATACAGGCCAGGATGCCATTGGCCTTCTTGGCCACCTGGGCACACTGCTGGCTCATGTTCAGCTTCCTGTCAATCCTCTGGACCATCTCCAGTTGATAGCTTGCCAGTTGTATTTCTTAAGACTTCAGTTTTCATACTTGTCCTCAAAAACACTTTTAGAGTCTTCAAAGCTGCCTGTTTGCCAGATCCAGCACAGCTGCTCCAGGTGGTGCATTTACAGCCATTCAGGCTGTATCTGACTGCAGTGGCAGATGGCTGGAGCCTTCTCTCTTGCAATAGGTCTGGGCTTACTAAGCGTGCATCGATCTGTGCATCTGTGCATGGTTAGATCTGACAATTCCAGAAGTGTTGGATTGACTCAACATGCACACAAGTATTCAGTGTGCTGGCAACTCCTTTGTTCCTGAGCTGCCTCTAAGGAAAGTGGCTGCTGGACTGTGGTTTGCTGCAGTAGCTGTGACTGTTCATGTTTTGGTTGCAGACTTACCTGGAGACACTGCAGATTTTTTGCAGTGATTCTCTAGGTTATGTGTCAGTCTAGGTCAGGAGCAAGGATGTTAGATGTCAGATATAAAATGTTAGATACCAGGCAGAACGAAGAGAGCTGCTACAACCGCCACTCTGCTGAATCTAGCTCAAAATCCGTTTCTGAGTTTGTGCAGGAAATGAGTGTATCTGGAACTTGGTTATGTGGTTTTGGAGGCTGGGGCCAGGGTAGTTGTTCTGAGGGTTTGCAAATGTTCTGTGTTCACTCTTAGTGTTAAGTAAGTCAATCTGTACTAGACTGTCAGCTAAAGATTCATTAACAGTCTGAGAAAATGATGAAGTGAAAGTCCAGTTGAGTGTTCTCTGTCCAAACTTCCACTTTTTCTATTTACATGCAAGTTTGCACTGTACAGTTACAGCTGCTGATGACATGTAAGATTTTTGAAGCCACAATAAATTAGAACTGTTTTATCAATGGTATTGATTTGGTTAAATGGTTTGGTTTGGGGGATTTTTTTTTTTTTTTACTTCTACCATTGAATTTTCCTTCTGAAAAGATGATTTTTAATATTTCTTGTAATTGCACCAATTTCTTAATGTAATTAGGTAGTGATTCATGAAGACTTCATTCAGTCCTGTTTCGATCGTCTAAAAGCCTCCTATGATACTTTATGTGTGTTGGATGGAGATAAAGACAGTATAAATTGTGCAAGACAAGAAGCAATACGGATGGTGAGAGTGTTGACTGTTTTGAGAGAATATATAAATGAATGTGACAGTGATTACCATGAAGAGAGAACTATTCTACCTATGTCAAGGTATGTGTGAAGAAGCAGTATTGTGATTTTGATTTTTGTTAAACTAAAACATTACTAATAGCTTTGTGATTTTTGCATTCTAAAGGGTTTCTATTCAGGGAATGGTATTTACAGAGTTTCAGAATTCCATTTTCTTTTTTAATACATGAAACTGTATTTTAAAAAAATTAATTTGAAAGATCAGGCAAATACAGATATACATGAAAGGGACAGCAGACCTGAGAGTAAACCTGTTGTGCTGGTGTTTTGTTCTTTAACTAGCACAATGTACCTTGAGGCTCGATTGTTTTGGATTTAGTTCTGTTTTCAGATAATTACTTAAAAGCAATACTGTTCTTTACATTAGCATCGTCAAAGCTTTGTTTTTCATATTCCTGTTTTACAAAAAACATGTCAATGTATATTTTCACCTTCCATAGTTGTTTACAGAGATCTTTTATCTTACTTTGCAAGCCTAAATTTGGGATTATTTCTAAGGGAAATAGTCTGTGTAAGTTCGTCATAAGAGGGGGAAGAAGAAAACAGTACCTTGAAGTATATTTATTTTCTGTATACCTTCACTCTTCTTGTATTTGTCCTTCAATGAAAACTCAGCTTGAATCCTAGCTCTCTCTTCCTTAACTTTGTCTTTGGTATAAAGAAAAAGCAAACACTTAAATCCAGTGTTGTGTAGATGTTCATAAGCAAAATATTTCCTGAGAGAGGAGAGAAAAGCAGAAAAGAAAAGTGTTTAAATGTTCCACTGTTAATAATTGCTCTCTGTGGGAAGAAGGCCTCTAAAGTACATCAGGAATACACTGTGATTGCTATAGATTTATGATAAAACTAAAATATTTTTAGACATGATAGGGGTTTGTCATCCCTTATTTTAAATGCCCTTTGCTGCTTCTTCGTGGTGTGTCAGTAATTTGCAGTGTTCCTACAGCTTTTTTATTGGATTGATTGATTGATTGATTAGTCCTAACGAAGTTCTCTTGTTCGTTATGGGTGCATCTTTTTTATATGGGCTGCTTGTTTGATTAGACTAATCTTTCACAGGCCTTGTTAGCAAGGAACTTTCTGAGGAGTTTTTTCTTTTTGTTGCATGGGATTAGTTTGTTGGGCTTATCTGGGCACATCTTTCCTAATGAGCTCCCTGCCATTGTGGGAAGTGTGATCACTGCTAATGTGAAACTGTTTCTTCCTTTTTTGATCCATTTCATTTTATTTTTTTTTAAGTAATTGTGATTTTAAAAATTGGAATTCTAATGTAAAACTTCTAACAGCTTTTGACAGAAGTCATTAAGACTTGGTGACCTGAAGGCTTTTTCTAATCTTAGTGTATTTAAAAGCAAAGCTAAGTTGCTTTGCTAAAAGAGCAAAACCTCGTTGCCAGTCTGATTGATCTTTGTTTGCACATTTTGGTTGGGAAGTTACCAGACAGAGAAAAGATCTAAACTTTATAAGAGAATTCTAAAATTTCTGTTGATGTTTGTAACCTGACTGTAAGTTTGACCATATGATTAATGTACTTGTGCCAAGTTTGACTTCTTGAAAGATTCTGTGTGTATTGTTTTTGTAGTTGCTGGGCCTTCACAAAATCTCATGCTGGAGAGAATATCATCATACGTAAAGATTTGATGTTGAAATACCTGCAACACAAAATACAGCAGGGAAAAGAATCTATTTCATGAGGGCAAAAATAACTTTTTCTGGTGTGTTTATTTTCAGAGCTTTCCGTGGTAAACATATCACCCTGGTAGTTCGTTTTCCCAACCAAGGCCGGCAGGTGGAAGATTTGGACATTTGGTCTCACACAAACGACACCATTGGCCAAGTGCGGCGTTGCATCCTCAACCGCATCAAAGCCAACAGTGCACACACGAAAGTGGAGCTGTTCATTGGTGGGGAGCTGGTGGACCCTGCAGATGACAGAAAACTCATTGGGCAGCTGAACCTCAAAGACAAAACGGTGAGTGTTGCAGGCTGGTTATTTACCTCAATTCAGATGTTGCTTCCCTTTTGTAAATGCTTGAAAAGTACCGTGCACAGGGTCACTTATTCTTGTGAAATAGTTCCATTCTTCCTCCTTGTATTATGCCATTAACGTGATATCAGGTGCTTATTTAATAAAGAATCTTAATTTATGCATGGTATTAAAACTATTATTGTGTTTTTCAGCTAATTACGGCTAAGCTCACACAGATAAATTCTAATATGCCCTCAAGTCCAGATAGTTCTTCTGACTCTTCGACTGGTTCTCCGGGCAACCATGGTAATCACTACAGTGATGGGCCAAATCCAGAAGTTGAAAGCTGTTTGCCTGGAGTGGTAAGCTTATTCTGAAATTAGCAGTTTAAACGCATTTTTTCTTATACTTTGTCTTTAACTAGGAATTTTAATGTGTTTTTTTTTTTTTTAAATTTGCTTATTTCAAGATCATGTCACTGCATCCTCGGTACATCTCTTTTCTTTGGCAAGTTGCAGACCTGGGCAGTAGCCTAAATATGCCACCCCTTAGAGATGGAGCTCGTGTTCTAATGAAGCTCATGCCACCAGGTAAAACTTAATTTTATCCTTTTTTTATCTTGTAATATTCTCTTTAATAATTTCTCACCTGTTACAGAAAAATGAAGATAGGGGAGTATTTTCTACTTTCTGGTAATTTATTGATACTGTAATTTATGACTGATCCTAATTAGGGCTGTAAATGTTTTCCCAAATAGTTCTTTCTTCTCTGCTATATCAAGTTGTGTAGCTTACAGTTGGTATTGGGGTTCAGTGCCACAGTGCAGTGAAAATGGGGAGAGGTGTTGTATTCTGAAATGATTTTGTAGCACTGCTTTAACAGGATCACTTTTGACTGTAATAATCATTGCAGAACACTTGATAGTCTGATGTTGTCTGTAGCTTTTTGCGACTGTTCTGATACACTTAAAACTTTTCAGATTTATATTTGTAAATAGTACTGGCTTGTTGTGGAGTAGTTTTGTTACAAAATGCTTACAAGTTGTGTTTTTATTGCAGATAACACTACAGTTGAGAAACTAAGAGCTATTTGTTTAGATCACGCAAAGCTTGGGGAAAGCAGCCTTAGTCCATCCCTTGATTCGCTCTTCTTTGGTCCTTCTGCCTCACAAGTGCTGTACCTAACAGAGGTTTGTGATGCTTTGCCTGTTCTTTAAAAATCTTCAGCTCTCCCTGTGGCAGTCCTTTCTGTAATGTTATAGAAGTCTAAGATCAAGTTCTGGTTTGAAATTAGCAATCAAAAGTACTTAACAGTTTACTGGAATAAACATGTATGACCAATGCTGTCAAAAGCATTGTTTAAGTAGTATTCCTATATATTCTCATGTTCAGTATCTCTATCCAAGCTGATGCATTGCTGTTAGTTAACTCTGTATTTTTTTCTACAGGTAGTTTATGCCTTGTTAATGCCTGCCAGTGCACCCCTGGGAGAAGATGCCAGTGACTTCCAATACAACTTCTTAAAAAGTGGGGGTTTGCCTCTTGTGTTGAGCATGCTGACCAGAAATAACTTCCTGCCAAACGCAGATATGGAAACTCGAAGGGGTGCCTACCTTAATGCTCTGAAAATAGCCAAATTGTTGCTAACAGCCATTGGCTATGGCCACGTTCGAGCTGTGGCAGAAGCTTGTCAGCCAGTTGTGGAAGGCACAAGTACAATTTCACCGGTAATATGAACCTTCCTTCCTGCAAATACCAATGTGCTCTGGTTTTTATGTTGTCTGCAGCAACTTCTCTCCACTCTTCATTAACAGTCTATTCTTTGAGTGCATTGCATGCCAAGAACTCCTGTTACTTTCAGATAATGTCTAAAAAAAGAGATCAAAAAAAAATCCTGTTTCTTTGTGACTATAAAAAGTTAGTGTGAGATGCACTTGCTCTATATGTGATTTTCAGTGGTTTGCATGATTGTCAGTGCAGGTAACTTTTAATTTCTAAGTGCATTATCCCATAAATTCAGTTCACAAAAAGAATTCTGATTCTTTTGAGCTGCTGAGTCTATTGAAGGATGTGCCTCTGAATTTCTTGTATCTATTAGAGCAGAAACCAACAGAACTGGTATTGAGTCATGCCAGCCCTTTGTCTACATAAAGACAAGTCTTTGGATTGCTAAAGTCCTAATTCTGTGTGTTGTTTGTAAAAGATTCTTGCAGAGAACGGTTTAGGTACATTGCAAAGTTAAGTGCTGATGGCTGAAAGGTGTCCTACCCTAAGATTTCTCAGAGTTAGAAAGGGGAAAGTCTGACACAGGTGTTCTGAACTGTGATCTCACGTCTGTAGTGGATTTTATGGATATTTAATATGGCAGGTTAGTTTTTGTACATCTAGACAAGTATGTTCTGAGTCAAGGTTTTATTGCTGTCCTCTTATAGTAGATGTACAGCATAGAGCCCAAAAAGTAAACTTTGCTGCTGTTTGTCTTGAACATTTACTTCACAAGTATTCCAGCTATTTAGCTTATTTTTTTTGCCTTTTGTGAGGTTCCATCCCAAATAGTTGCTTGAGCTCTCAACCTGTACTCAAGAATACACAGAGAGTCCCACTTCAAGGTACTTTATTCCACAGTATTGACTAAGATCCATCTCTGAAGCAGACAAGTACATTCCCCTTAAGTCTGAAAAATAAATATCCATTATGCTTAGCTACATCTGTTGGAAGATACATGATTAATTCTTTTTCCAGAGGTGAAGATCCCTTTTCATGTCTTGTATTAGAATATAATAGAAACATCTTAAAGCAGACATGTTTGCCACTCTATCCTTCGTTCTGTTTAAATGAGTAAGTTTTACTGCCCTCACAACATAATAATTCCTTACAACAATTATTTAAAAGGTAGTTTGGAACACAGATATCACCTTTTGAGTCTTGAAGTACTGTTTAAAATATATTTATGCTGACTTATTAAGAGGTAGTGGCATTTGTCCGTGATTGCTGGTATTCACTGTTTGGTGTTGCAAACATCTAACTTAATAATATTAACTGATTTGTTGGAACAAACATGGTTATTCTTGCTGTTGTCATCATCCTGTTTGAAGGACTTTGATATTTTTTGTTATTGCTGCAGCACCAACAAGTTTACACCTTGGAATGGAGGTGAGATTTGTTAATAACTTTCATCTGCCTTATCTAAAGCATAAGTACCAAAGCATAGCTTTCTGTCTTGGCTTTCCATCAGTACTTGAGAGAAATGAGGTAACCAGGGTTATGTGTCTGCAGTCTTTCAGTTATCAGTCTGTTGCTGTCACTAGTACCTTTTAAATTTTTACTTTTTTCTTCCTTGTTTTCATAGAAGGTGGAATTAAAAACATTGTCAAACACAGTATTCTGAACTTGATTTGTCCCATGTATATTGTGGTTGATCACTTCCAGCCTGCTTCCAATAATTAATTGACCGTGGAAGCTCTCTTAGTCTTTGGTGAGGGTTCTGTAATTTTGCTCCCTAAATCAACTGTCCTAGTGAAGCTGACAAAGCAAGGGGTGTGATCAAAGGCAGGTGTTACACAACAACTTCACAGTGGGTCTTTTGAGCAGCATTTGAGGTGGCTTTTTTGAATGAAATGGTACAGAGAAAATGAAGAAACTCTTTTGTTGAAGAAGTTTTAGCTTGTAACCACAGCCCGCAGTCTTTTGTTTGTCTGTGAGAAGGAAACAACTGTTTCAGATTTGAACTGTCAAAACTGTGAAGCTCTTGCAGCCCAGGGAGAGGAACTGTATGCTCAAACCAATACAGAAAAGATAAAAACTTGTCTTGCTACTGTTTTGTTATGGAAATACCATAGAAAAAGTGGAGGGATAATTCAGAACAGAATTCTTCAGTAGTGCTCTAACTCAGATGTTTAAAATGTACTTCAGTGTAATGAACACTGTAACCATGTACTGTCTGGACACTATTACCTAATCCAGAGGGAGAGCCAATTGTTTTACCAAACCCTTTCTTTCCTACATCAACAGAAAGGGAAGGAGGTGTAACTGTAAACATTCTGTTATGAATAGTCTTGATCAGTAATCTGATCAATAAACAAGCTTCCAAACCTAATAAGTTCTGAGCAAGTGCCTCTCCTCTTAACTGCTTGTACTCTGTGATCATACACTGCAGCATAAAGTGTCTTCAAATGTGATATCTGTTTGATAATGAGATTTATCTTGGTGTTTGCAGATTCTGTAAGTAGTTTTCCTTCCACGATCTTGCATACTTCTGCCAAACCTTTCCAAGTAACTTTAGATCTTCATATCTTTTTGCTTTTTTCCCCTATGTAAAAGTAAGTATAAGAAGTACTTTCTTCCAGATAAACCAGGCTACGCATGACCAGGCAGTGGTGCTACAAAATGCCCTACAAAACATTCCTAATCCAACTTCAGAATGCATGCTAAGAAATGTAGCAATACGTCTTGCACAGCAAATATCTGATGAGGTTGGTGAATTCCTTTCTCTTTCACCTTTTTTCCTACAGCATTTTTCCTCTTTTTTTAATCCTTAAATTTATTGCATTGTAAAACATGGATTTTCCTTTTAAAATTTCATGAAACATTTTAGGTAGTCTTCATATGATGGATAAGCTATTAATTTAAAGTATTTGTTTCCATATGCATTATGAAATTTGGTGCCTAATACCATAAAGAGGCTTTAGTGAAGAGGCAGTTTCTGAACAAGCTCTTTAATGGATTGTGAATATTGTTATCCTGAGATCAGAACTTTAGAAAATGGATGTAATAGATTTAAAGAAGTTAACGGGTATTTTGAAAACACTTTTTGTGGTACTTTCTTCTTTTTTTGGTCTTCTCTGTTTTGGTTTCTGAGTAACACTCTCTTCCTGAGGAGAAAAGCAGAAAGGGGAAGGGAAGTTTAAAGTATTGAACATGATTTTTAAATGCTGAGAGATAAGTCTCAAATCCTTACCAGTGTATCTTTATATATTGAAAATGGATTAATGTTGCAAGTGAGAAATTGGATTGTGGACCTCAGTAGTGTTAAAGAATGTGCTTTGAAAATGTAATAGTCTTATCCATATGGTATGGCCAAACCCTATTTAGATGTGGGAATCATGAGTCATGTCAGTGAATAAATATATTAGTGAATTCTGCTGAAATCAGCAGAAGCTGAAATCAGAACTGCTGCAAATTCCTCTTCCACAGTGAGTTGGGTCCCTTCCAGTGTGGAAGCAGTGAAGATGGTGTTTCTGTGCTGTATAGCACATCTGCAAAACCATCTCCAAAACATTTCTGAGGTATCTAGGTAGAAGTAGCCTCATATGATCATCTTGGTGTTGAAAAGGGCACTATCCCTGCAGAACAAAGGGCTGTGTCTAAGGAAAGCACCATGTACTAGAATGCAAGACTGACCCATCTGCCTTAGATCAGTGGTGGTGTTGCATCTGTACATAAAATCAACCAGTTGAACTCAATTTAATTAAACTGCTTCCATAGAAGAAATGTCTTTTGAGGTGAGGTATGAAGCAAGTTTTTTAATTGTGCCTTTGTCTTTCCTGGAGGACTTCTAATAAATAAATACATTATTTTTCTTTCACCAGGCACGTCAAAGCAAACAAAAGCTGAATTTCTTTAACAGTATTGCTGTTAAAATTTTGTTTGCAAATTTCTGGTATTATGAAAACTGCTGTAGATCTAAATTTCATATATATCACAGTTTGCCTTTGAAAGGTTTTTTCTTTCTCTTTTTCATGTTTTGATGTTCCATCCAAAAGACTGACTCTTTTTAACTGTCTTCACAGTTTTTTAAAAAATAAATCCAACATGATTTCCATAGGCCAGAGAGAAGACTACTGCAGAGAAAGGAATCTTTCACATTTTTTAAAAATGTTGATACTCGAAGATTTTAAAACTCCAATGAGATAAAAAAAACCCCCATGTAATTTTTCTTATGATGCTGTTGCTCTGAGGTTGCTTAGCTTGTGACAAAGATGAAATGACTGTTACTTTCCTTGTAACTCCAGATGATGTTCGTGTCAGTACACCAATGCACATTGTTCAGGTTTCCTGATGCAGAAAGCTTAGTAGTTCAGCCTCCCTTTTTTATTAAGCCTGAACATTAGAAATATGGAACTTGACATTTTTGAGAACTGTCTGCCATCTGCTTTTAGAGATTCCCTAGTTTTTGGACAGTTCTACGTAGAATACAGACCTTGGCTGTGTTTTGTGTTGTTTTTTAAAGTTGATGCAAACTATAAGTAGTAAGTTGTAGTTTGTTTTGTAATGTGTGTATATCAGTAGAAGCTATTGGTGCTAACTCAGTCCATGCACGAAATACTGAAGAGTGATTCTGCATTCATAAGATGCATGAACTGTGTTTGTATTAATGTTAAAACCTGTATATCTTAAATGTAGAACAGTCCCTTTATATAATGATCAAATACTTTATAAGCATCAATTTGTGGAGCTAGCTATCAGCCAGCACAATAAATACCATGATGAGGAAAAACCCTGAAATAAGTTTCTGCATTTCTTAAGAGGCTGGCTGCCTTCCAGATGCATGTTTGGTGGTTTCTTGGGTTTTTTTCCCAAACTGAGAAATTTAGCATTGAATTTGGTAGTTCCTGCTATACCTTACTCAGTATCAGAATCCTACTTTCTGTTAAAAAATGAAATTTTATTTAAGTGAAGTACAAATACTTTTCAAGATACATCATCTCTCTTTTTTCTATTTAAGGGAAAATTCTTTATTAAATTTTGAAATTTTAAGAGTTAAATTTGCTATAAAATTCATTTGTGAGAATTTGGACTCCACGGTAATGTTATTTGCAGCTGCATTCTAATGTTGCTTTGGTTTATTTCTCTCTTTTTTTCAGGCTTCAAAATACATCCCTGATATCTGTGTTATCAGGGCAGTACAAAAAATTGTCTGGGCATCAGGTTGTGGGTCAGTTCAGCTGGTTTTCAGCTCGAATGAGGAAATTAGTAAAATCTATGAAAAGGTAAGAATTCCTAAGCAACTTCTTTTTTGTAAAACTGTTCATTTGTTTATAAAAGAGTCTGTTGACCACATCAGGCTTAGGGTGTGATGAACTTTTAGGTGGGTATACCCTGGTGGTGATATATTTCAGAGTTCAGTACAGGTTCTTGTCAGACCACAGTTTGTTCTATTCCAGATTGCTTTTCTCAGTAACTGTTTAATTGTAGCTTCAATCTGGTGTCAGTTCAAAAGTGCACCAGTTCTGTAAGCTGCTGTAACATGCTTTCAGCCCAGTTAGGTTCTGTATCTAAATAAGGAATAAGTATTTCTTGCAATGATAGTTTTTCTAGTCTTCATAGTTAAAAGGTCTGTTCTACAAAAGCTGATTTAACACATATGTGCAGTCTAGAATGAAAACTAAGAGCTAATTTATGTGAAACTAGCACTGGAAAAAAATTAATTGTTAATCCTGTATGACCTTTTTCTTTTTATTAGGTAGATATGTAAAACATCTTGATGGTTTCACACATGGTTTACACACATAGTTAGGAGTTGGGGGTTATACATCGGTGCAGTATCACACACTTTGTGTTTAATGTTGTTTACAGTTACAGGAAATAGTAACATGTATTTTGACAGTGATTTTTTTAAAAGTATCTTTTTGTTCTCTGAACATCTTCTCTGATTCATCTTAAAAAAATCATGTTTAGGACTTGTCGATGCTTGTCTAAGAGTAGAAAAGAAAGGAATCTGTAAGGGGGCTTTATTCTTGGAGGATTAGCTGCTGTGCTTAAGTGATCTGTCAGAAGAAGAACATTTACTTCAGCAAAATGCAGCACCTTTACATTTAGCTTACGTGGTGGTATGATGGCATCTGCTTCTATTGCTGTGAGCATGACTTCTTCATTAAATAAATTGGGGCTTTAGGGGTTTTTTAGGTGATAAACTGGCATGTAAAACATGGTTTAGTTAGTGTGACAGTCCAAGCACACAAACATATGCTCTTGTATCTACACATATGATGTTTTAAGAACACCAGTGCACTGGGGAAAATACACCTAAAAGAAAATAGAGCTAAGTGTGCTTTTCTAACATTTTTCTGGCTAAAAATTTTACTGTTAAGTTCTGGTAAAATTACTTCGAAAGCAGTCATCCTCCAAAGGATTTTATGGGTTTTCTGTTTGATTTTTTGTTTTATTTTTTCTTATTGACACTTATATGGACATTTTTGATAAATGGCAGCTGCATTTGGTTTATGCTAGGCCAAAGGGGAATAAAAATTGAAGGGAAAAATTTGAAATTAAAAAGAGGAAGAAATTGCAGAGGTAATAAGAAGGAGGAATAAGGTACCCTTTGCCAGTGTAACATAAAAAAGAGGAAAGTATCCTGGAAATAGAGGAACATCATGGAAGAAAGGTCTCATTCTTATTTTAAGAGAATTGTGTTTGCTTATAGATGACGGGAAGTAACTTTTATGATGGTTTTATAAAGATTGAATATACTGATGACTGACAAACACTGGCTTTTAGAGGAAAAAGTATTTTAAGGAAAATGCTTTCAGTTTTCTAAGTTAACCACTAAAAATTAGACTTTAACTCATAAGTCCTAGAAGTATTTTGCTAAGTGTGTGGAATAGAGATTTATCATTAAAAGTTTAAGAACAAAAGCAGACTCATTTTTGTGGAATCAAGAATGACATGTCAGGATTCCTGAAAACATCAAAGGCTACAATGGGAAATTATTTTTTTAAGAGGCATTTCAGAGTAGTGCCATCAAGAATGACTTCTGAAAGAATGTTGAGCACCTAAAGAAGCTTCTGAACTTAACTGGTGAATTGAATTAAACTTTAAAGCCCAGATAAATTATTTTGAGAGCATAACTTGTATGGAGTCTCTTCTGCCTCCTGCCTCAAAAAGTTCTGGTGTGAGAATCCTCTCCGTGGCTGAAGATGACTTTTTGCAGCTGCCAGTGGTGTCCAACTGCCTTTGCCTCATTAGCTCAGAGGAGGCTCCTGGACACCAGAAATACTCCAGATGTGCTGCTTGGACAGACCCCTCAGCTCCTGGTGCCTGAGTGTAGGGAAGTACTTCCCTGAGTACAAAATGCACTTTGCTGTTCTCCTAGAGCCCTGCAGCAATGCAGAAATAACTGTCCTTTCTGAACAGGGGGCAGTGCAGAGCAGGTGCAGTCCTGAACTTGTTGAAAGCACCTCTGTTTGCTTTAGGATCTTGAGCTGTGTCAGAGTGACCACATCCTCCCACTGCAGTGTGGTGACTGTCTCTGATTTTTTAGCTGATGTGCAAAGACTAAGTAGTGTTTGTTGCCAGACTGAGGCATCCTTTGGCCTGTTCACAATTAATTCTCTTTCCTGAATTGCAATCCCTTCTTTCTGCCTACTTAATCTTGGTGCCTTCTCACATACAAAACAAATAATTAATGCCTCTAGTTAATGTTGCTAACCTGCATGATTTATAAATGGTGAATGGAGACCTGCTCACATTCAGTTTCTTCAGAACTTCTTGAAGATAATTACTTTTAGGTGGAGGAGAGGGCTTGCCATTATTCTCAAAGTACTTATTTTGGAGAAATGTACCAAAATCAACTCACTTGATTGAAGTGTTCAGTTAAAGGAGTAACCTCTGTGCCCATTAGCAATAATATCACTTTCTATTTCAAAAATCACCACACAGCTATGTTTGAAATTTGGTTCAGCTCTCTCATGTTTCTGAAAAATAGTGATGAATAAATTCTAGCAGTATTAAGAAGCTTTTAGTCAAATAAGTTGTGTCAAAGCCTTGTAAAACTGGATTTAATGATGAATTCTAAAGCACTATAGCCTTTCTGTGCTTAAGTAGTAACTGTTCTCCATGCTTTACACTCCATGTTCTGAGTATTAAAAAAAAGCAGAAGAAAAAAAAGGCAAAGAAACCCCCAGATACAAACCAACAAACAACTCCAACAGTACTAACTGATGAAACTTGCTTGCAAGCTTCCTATTTAACTTCTGGCTCCTTCAGTTCATGCTTGGAATCCTCCTTTGAGAAGCACAGTACTGGAAGTTCGAGTCATCCTACATAGTGCTTTGACTCAGATCTGAGTGGAGTGCATAAAATACTTGGCAATGATAATCACTTAGTGTACAAATTTGTGGTTTGTGTTTGTATTTAGTGGATATACCTTGGAGCCAGTTGGGTTTTTTGGGATTTTTTTCTATACCCACTTTGTGCACTCTTGTTTGTTTTCACAGACAAATGCAGGAAATGAACCAGACCTAGAAGATGAACAAGTTTGCTGTGAAGCACTGGAGGTGATGACCCTGTGTTTTGCTTTGATTCCAACGGCACTGGATGCACTCAGTAAAGAAAAGGCATGGCAGACATTTATCATTGATTTACTGCTGCACTGTCACAGCAAGTAAGTTTTGGTGTTTGGTTTTTTTTTTTTAATCACATCTACTGTTTTACAATTCAAAATTAATATGAAGCCTAAATGCAAACAGTGACTTCTTATTTAAGTGATTTTTCTCTGCAACTGTCTTAATTATTGTTTAGTGCTGTAGATCTAATTTGGATACCTGTTCTAAATATCAGTCCCATTTTCTTTGTACTCATAAGGAGGATATTGTCAAGCTGGATGGATGGGTGTCTGATAATGTGCTACTGATGGCTTTAGAACAAATTATTTGTGGTGCTCTCGGATGAATGGGGTCAGAATTTCAACACCGTGTTTTGGGGGTTTGACTTTTCTAGATAAACAGGTTGAAAATTCTTAGATTCAGGAATATTCACCATAACAGAAGGGTCATCAGAGTATCTCTTTACAATGAACAATTTGCACACATTGGTGAAACTGTGGAATGTTACCAGAATACCACAAACTTTATTAGTTTCCAGCCTCTGGTGTAGGGTGTTGAATTTTCGGTTTCACTGAACCTTGCTAGTATCACTTATTGTTTGGAAAAATAGTTCATTGTGCCAGTACAAGAAGCTATCACTGAGCTCTTTTCTCTCATATGCTTGTAAATGTTGTGATGCATATGATAATCTCATTTAGAGTAGTGCATCTCTTCATTATTAAATGATAGAATAGCATAAACATGATAGAAACAGGAGACTGCTCATGATTGAAGATAGAGGAATTGAACTAAGTGGCTAAAAAGTTCCTCTTCTGAATTAATGTGGAAACAAATTAATGCTTGCAGAGAGAGAAAATTTAGCAAATACCAGACAGAATTCTGAATATCCTTCCATTTTCAACTATTGTTCTCTAATCTCCTAAGCTCAATCAGAGAACAATGTGAGCAAAAATACACATGTGAGAAAATGCTTTTGGTGCACCATAAAAGAGAAAGAAGATGATCAAGTTCAGATCTCAGAAATAGGATCTTTCTGGAAAAGATCAGATGGACTGCTTGTTTTTCAGAGATTGAGACTTTTGCTGTTTCCTCAGAGCATAACCATTGAGAAACAGTGCAACATGTTTGGTATTAAATCCTAGAGCTGTTCTTCCTCTCTAGGGTAATTGATTTTCTAATGGTGTCCCCTGAATGCAAGACTGCCTTAGTCAACAGTGGATTGCTGAACAGTTAGTCCTAAATAATCGTGGAACCCAGAAGTATTCCACTGATCTCTGCAAAATGCTCAGTGCAGAGTCTTTATTTATTTGTGGCCCAAATAAATAAAAATCCTGTGTGCCAGTGTATAGCCTTGCTCCTTAGACCTATTGAAGAGGCTGATTTCTGTTAACTAAGCAGAAATCTGTGTCCTGGAGCTTTCAGTAGGACTGGATTCAGGTTGCCTGCCTTGAGGAGGGAGGTGCTTGACCTCCAGCTGTTTCGCTGGGTGAGTGTGAGTTCATCTTGCAGCTTGTGTGCTGTGTTCCAGCTCTGTGCTGTCGTCCTGTGTCTGATATAGCATGGGAGGCCTGTGTTTAGGCAGCTGCTTCCCACTCATGATTCCTTAAGAACTCTTAAGTTGTTGTAGCCTCACAAAAATATAATACTTGCGTACAAATAGTGCATACTCCTCAGAGGTATGTGTTTGCTAGGTCACATTTCTCACTTTAGGAAAATACCATCTTTATCTGTTTCATTCTGTATCTACATGTGTGGACCTCAGGACTGTCTGTGTGATGTGTCCAAAGCAATTGAAGGATTATATCTTAAAACAAACTTGTGTGAGAAGTTCTGTTGTTCAGAACAAAACAGAGCTCCCCCATCCCATGGTCCTCTGCAACTCAGAGCAGTGGAGGAGAACTTGTAAAGATCACAGAAGGATGACAAGGGAGATCAAAGCTCTGAAATTACTTCCATCTGAGGAACAGCTGAATAGCTGGGGGCACTTCATATTGGAGGAGAGATAAATGGTGGGAGAAGAATACCACAGAGACCCTTAAAATCAGAAGTAGCAAAGGGAGAACAAATAGAGAACGTTATTTCTTTGTGTAAGACCTTCTTGAGCAAAACATTTAAGCAGTGTAAACCTTCAGTTTGGAAATGGTTTGAGGGGTTCTTTCATGAACTTGTCCAGTGAAGGCTATGAAATACTGCTTTTGGTAGTCTTCCTGAACCACAAATTGTTAGAAGCAGAGAGAAGATTCTGGAGAAGTGTTGCTGCATCTTCATCCTTCTTGTGCACTTTCCTTTGTGGCTGATAACAGACGGGGTGCTCAGCCAGGTGTGTCTTTGCTCTGACCTCAAGGTCATTCCTGTGTATCTTTGAAACACAGTTAACCACACATGAAAGAACTCTCAAGGGAATGGGATTCTTTGGTGTGCTTTCAACGCTGACCTCCTGGGCAGAAAACAACGACAGGCACACCAGACACTGCAAAATCCAGTTTTTCATATGTTGAGATACTTTCATAAAGCATGGCATTCACGTGTAGTCTCTTCCCACATAAGCAGAGTTGTTCCTAACAGATTTTACAAGACATAATGCTCAGACAATTATCTTACAGCTTGAAAGAATAGGATTTGCCTTAAATATGTTTTTTACTGAAGCTTATCCATTCCTGTGATTAGATTAAGTTCTGAGGTGGAAAATTTCCTTTAATTAAAACCACTTGAATTTTCAGGAGGGTCATCTTTTCTCTTTTCTTACTAATGATAAATTTTGATCACTTCAGAGATGCTCAGCAAATGGTGAGATGCTGTAGTGCTACATAAGAGCAGTTTTACTACAGTAGTTCTGGTTTGTCTGTCAGGTACAACTGGTGCTTGATTAGAAAGAAGGAGTTATTTAGTGTTGCAAATTGCTTATTGTGTTATGCAATATTTGCTGGCAGTTGCAAAGGTGTAATGGTTGGGTGCTTCCAAGTTTCTTTTACCTTTAAATATTTGATTTGTGGAACAGGTTTTGTAATAGTAATTCACATGTCTGAAATTTCACTTCAAGGAGGAACAATATGATGGACCGTGAATAATTAAAATATTCCCATTTCTTACATTATGTTCAGCTTTAGGAAATGACATTAAGCAGATAAGCACAATTTTTATTTTTTTTTAATGTCCTGTTTGGGTAGGGAGATTGAATTTAATGTTTCTATTAAATGCTTTCCAGAACTGTTCGTCAGATGGCACAGGAGCAATTCTTTTTAATGGCTACCAGGTGTTGCATGGGACAGAGACCTCTCCTTTTCTTCATTACCCTGCTGTTTACTGTTCTAGGGGTAAGTTTTTAGAGATAAAGGCTTCAGTACAACGTGAAGTAACAGGAGAAAATATCTGCAAGAAAAGACAAATTGCTATTGGCAGCAGTCACTAAAATAGAGATTCCTTTTGACCCACAGGCAAGCAGCACAGTTGATTTCCATTTGAACCAGGTGAGGGGAAAGGGGACTTTTTTGTATTTTCTGATAAAAACGTGAATAATAAGCTTTAGTATCTGCATTTGACCTGTAACGAATGCTGACCTTCAAGTAAAAATCATTAACAGATTAGAGAGATACTTACAGTCAGTGCCTTCTCTTTACTGGGCCTGCTGGGGCTTTTCTGTTCCACATGCTTGTGACCCTCTTGAATTTAATCACTTCACCATTTGTTTTTTCCCACTCAGGTATAGAAATTGCTACTAAAATAGTCAAGAATTCATTCATTAGCAGCTAAATATAATTGTAAACTTCTGAAGGGTTAAAAATTACTTCTTTTCTTTCATGTTTACTGCCAGGTTTAGGGAAGATGTGTTGGTGTTGCACTGTAAGTAGAAGCGTGTGTGAATTCTCTATCATTTGTTTTTGGTTTACATAGAGTACTGCGAGAGAGAGAGCTAAGCATTCTGGAGACTACTTCACTCTCCTAAGACATCTTCTTAACTATGCTTACAACAGTAATATTAATGTACCCAATGCTGAAGTTCTTCTCAATAATGAAATTGACTGGCTTAAGAGGATTAGGGTAAGTCTTAGGGTCAGTTTATTCCTAATAATTAGCTTTTTGCTACTTTGTTGTACTTTGCTACTTTGTTAAGCTTGGTAAATGTGTTACTTGGAGTATCCTTTCTCTTAAATTGGCAGGACGAAGTAAAAAGAACAGGGGAAACAGGTGTTGAAGAAACTATTTTAGAGGGTCACCTTGGAGTAACAAAAGAGTTGTTAGCATTCCAGACACCTGAGAAGAAATACCATATTGGTTGTGAAAAAGGAGGTGCTAATCTCATTAAAGTAAGTTGAAGTTTTTTGACCAGTGGAGGGTTTTTTGTCTTTAGGTGAGGTTTTTTGAGGTGGGAGAGAGGAAAGGTGTTTGGTTTTTTGTTAGTTTTTTTTACCCAGAAGTAAGTAAAAAGAAGCGTTGCATCTTGTGGTCTATATCCATAAAAGTGCTTCTGGAGTTCAGTGTTTTCTTTAAAAATAATTTTGAAAATTACGTGTTTCATTCATAAACTGTACTTAACTTTCTCATTCTTACTGTATTCCAGTACTTGGCAAACATCACACTAGGATAGTGAGCTGGATACAGGACTGTTTTCCTTCATTACCCCATATTGTCTTTTCTGCACATGTTCTTAATTAGTGCTACTAGTGCTTATAGCAGGTTTGAACAAATGCGTCATATCTGAATACCTCTTTAATCAGACTTGTTTTCTTTGTACCTCTGATATTATACAGCAGGAATGTTGGGTTTTTTCAGCAGTAATTGATAGAGAGCTTTTTAGATAATACTGGTTTGGCAAGAGAAATTTTTTACCAATCAAGAATAGTACAGAGTTATTTTTAACTTACAGTGGGGAGGTGAGTTTGCAGGGAACCACTTTAGAATGGAGTTACTCAGTTCTAAATTTAAAAGCTCATTATAGTGTTGGTCTCAATTTTGACTCATTTTTTTTTTAGGTACCCCTTTGGTTCTCAGGCATTCATTTAACGTAATAACTCTTATAAAACTGTGTGCATTTCTGTGGTAACAGGTGATTTATTTTCTTTTTTTTTCAGGAGTTGATAGATGATTTCATCTTCCCAGCATCCAATGTTTACCTACAATACATGAGAAATGGAGAATTGCCTGCTGAGCAGGCCATACCAGTCTGTAGTTCACCAGCTACTATTAATGCTGGCTTTGAGCTCCTAGTTGCACTAGCAGTTGGATGTGTGCGAAATCTCAAACAGATAGTAGACACGTTGACTGAAATGTATTACATAGGTACAGCAATCACTAGTATGTAATACTTTTAATTATCTATTTTCTACTTTTTAATATATATATCATGTATAGGTTTTGTTTATTATGCACTGAAGCGAATGCTGGGTGTTTTAGTTTGTGGTTTGTGTCTGCTTTTAATGTTGCAAAATCAGGATGTCAGAATCTAGGAAAGTTTGTCAGTGTAGCCTTTATTGTTGTTCTTTATGCAGTAAATGTACTGACTTGCATTACATAGTTGCATCCAAATTCCAGCCCCGGTCACTTACACTGCCTGACCCTTCCTATCCCAATCTCTGACTACTCCCCTTTGTCCATGCCAGCTCCCAGGAACCTCATTCTGTCTGTATCTTCTACTTCTGTCTCATCGTTTCAGGCTCTGCCTAACCAATCCCAGAACCTCTTCAGGTATCTTTGGCTCAGTTTTAGTGCCAGTCTCTTGGTTGCTCACCTAATTTGTCATCGTTTTCCGCACACAGACACAGGTCCACTGTCCTGTTTCTCTTTTTAGTTCTGAACTCATTCTCTGCTTGTCATAGTCCTTTTTCAAGCATTTGTTTGCTCAGTTTTGGCCTTGCCTCAGCACTGCTCTGCACTGAAAGAGCTTTCTCCTTCTCACTGGAGAAAGATTATAGCAATTGCAGTATATACAAAAACTTGCCAATGTTAGTGCTTCAAAAACTAGTAGTCAGATGAAACTTGAACTAATTTTCACAAGGATGGCAAAAGGCTCATACTTTAACACGGATTTTTGTTGTCAGTAAAAAGCATATAAGACTTTCTTAGAAGTGAACAAACAGGAGCATATTTTCTCCAGCCTGAGTGGGATAACAAAACCATTTTGGCTGTAATATTAACAGGGAAAGGGAAAAAAGAAAAAAACCTCAACACTGACAATAAATAAAAATCCAAACACCATCAAACCAAGCAAGCCCACACTCATATGGGAGGAAGGGATGGGAGAGCTGGGGTTGTTCTATCTGGAGAAGAGAAGGCTCCAGAGGTACCTTATTGTGGCCTCCATGGCTTAAACATGGCTTATAAGAAAGAGAAAGAGAGAGTTTTCTACCAGGGTCTATAGTTACAGGACAAGAGGCAAGAGGGGAGAGAGAGAGAGTACATTTGTGTTGGACACAAGGAAGAAATTCTTCACTATGAGAGTGCTGAGATGCTGGAGTAGGTTGCCCAGTGAAGTTGTGGATGCCCCATCCCTGAAAGTGTTCAAGGCCAGGTTGGATGGGGCCCTGAGCAACCTGGTCTGGTGGAAGCCCATGGCAGGGGTTTGGTCTAAAAGATCTTTAAAAGTCCCTTCCAGCCCAAGCCATTGTGTGATTTAACAGAATGTTTAAACTCAGAGGGTTCAGCAAAACTGTGAGCAACGAAGAATAGTATCCCAAGGAGGGAATTGTCCACTACCCCTCACAGTGGCAGTGCTACTTGCTCAGATGGTGCTATCAGTGAGTCATTTGAGGTTTTTCAGTCTCTTCCTTTTTAATTCTGTCTCAATAAGTGAACAGGGCAGCTTTATGGTGTTCCCCTCTGCCTCATCCTTTTTTCTTCACCCTTTTCTATTGGGAAGTAGTGTATTTCTTGTCACTTCACAATTAGAAGGATTTAATTACGTTTCCTTCTACTCCAGTATTTGATAAGCACGATAGAACACCACATCTCTGTGGTATGTCAGACAGAGGAGACAACACATGTATGAACTCTGCATGCTCTGTGATTCATATACCAAGTTTGCTTGCAAACATGCATGCTCTCTTATGTCAGAATTTTTTGTGTTAAAACTACAGGACTACAGGTTAGCTAGGAAATTGTAATCATAAGTGTACTCTGAAGAGATGTGATACGTATTTTTTCCTCCAGAGTCTTCTCTCTCAGATTCCTCACAAGTCATAAAGATAGCATTTCCTAAAACTGTTTCCCATCCTGGCAATGGAAAGTGAGGCTTAAGTGAAATATTGTGATTTTAAAAGGATTATAAAATTTTTAAAGGCTTATAAATTGGTTATATATTCTATATTCAGCTGAATTCTTCAGCTGAGAAGCTTGGTAGTATTGAGGAAAGACTTCTGTTTCATGTCTAAATAGACTTGAATTTTTACCTGGATGCTTCTTTAGTTATGCAATAGAAGAAAATTATATAATGTTAAGATTGCAGATAGAATTGTCCTTCATAGAAGTTGTGTTGATTTTAGCAGTTAAGTTTTCTGGTGAAACATTTGTTTTATTAAACTGCAGTGCGATACAGACTAATAACAATTCTATGCAACTGCCCTTTATACTGCATTGATATTCTCTTTATTTTATAACAAAATAGTTCCCTAATCACATTTTACTTTTTTTCTTTTAGCTTGTGAAGCTCTTACAGAATGGGAATATCTACCACCTGTTGGGCCTCGACCACCAAAGGGATTTGTAGGGCTAAAAAATGCTGGTGCCACTTGTTACATGAATTCTGTCATTCAGCAGCTGTACATGATTCCAGCCATCAGGAATGGGATTCTTGCCATTGAAGGCACAGGCAGTGATGTAGATGATGACATGTCTGGGGATGAAAAGCAGGACAATGAGGTAAATTTAGTTATGTAGAACTGGCTTATCTTTAACTAGTAACTCTTTTTTAATGAAAAGGTTATAACAAGTTTCAGTTGTTAATCAATCACTGATTTCCACTGATAGCAGTGGGGAAAATAGCATAATATTTCTTACTTGAGTAGGCTCACTACCAGAGGGGCAGTTCAGAAGATCCAAGTAGCAAGGTTTGCAGAATTCCTCCTCATGGATGTGTACTGGAAAGGAACATGTCTTATTGCTGCCACCAGAACGCTGTTAATGCATACAAAGACAGTATTTGATTTTTCAGCTGAGAGTATGAAACTCTCCAGATTGTCAAATTAAACAAGGGATACAACAAACTTTGAGCCAGCTACGTATCAGTGTTAATGACACAAATTTTCTTTTGCTTTTCAGAGCAATGTTGACCCACGAGATGATGTGTTTGGGTACCCACATCAGTATGAAGACAAACCAGCACTGAGTAAAACAGAAGATAGGAAAGAGTACAATATTGGGGTTTTGAGGCATCTCCAAGTAATTTTTGGTCATTTAGCAGCTTCCAGGCTACAGTACTATGTACCAAGAGGGTTTTGGAAACAATTTAGGTAAGTAGAAAATTTAGTATTGATGTTTGTTCACTGCATCAGTAGCAGAAATGGTGGTGATGTAAAGCATATGTGATTTACAGTGATGTAAGGTGTAAATTAGCAGAACTTGTGCAGCATTGTATTTGTTACCCTACCTTCTCACCATTCTGTAAAAGTCTGTTAATAAACCAAAGTTTACAGCAGGATGGTTATTTTGAATTTTAGCAGTTCTTGACGTTGATATTGAGGCTTTGAATTAAGTGTAAAGTTACACACAAAAGCTTTTTTTTTACTTATCAGAAAGTATTAGGGACAGAGTAACAGGTGATATACATCAAAAACCAATAAATAGTTTCCCTCAGTAAGAAGGGATTAATAGCTTGAATAATATTTTTTTTTTTAGAAAAGTGGTTGTTGAAGAACGAAACAAAAAATACTTGACAAGAATGTGCTTTCATTTTCAGACTTTGGGGTGAACCTGTAAATCTACGTGAACAACATGATGCTTTAGAATTTTTTAATTCCTTGGTGGACAGTTTAGATGAAGCTTTAAAAGCTTTGGGCCATCCAGCAATGTTAAGTAAAGTTTTAGGAGGGTCCTTTGCTGACCAGAAGATTTGTCAAGGATGCCCACATCGGTAAGTGTTTAAGATTTTTCTCTTTTTTTTACAGGAAAACCACCTATGTTTGTGTTCTTCTAAAAGTGATTAGAGTCAAGTGATTGTGTGGTTTGGGTGTTGGATTTTTTTAAAGCTAATAGACTTTTATTTCTTATTTTTTTTATAGCCTTAATTTGTGTTCAAGTGCCTTCTTAATTATTATTGCTTCTACCTTGCAGATTGTATGTGAAACATTGTGTATTGATCAGGGCAGAATAAGATAATGCTTTTTCATGTTAAAAGTGAAAACAATTAGGGACCAAATGCAATGTAGAAAATTTTAAGACCTGACCAACAACTGTTGCTGTCTTCAGTCTTCCATACTATGTGTTCAGAGCTGACCCAAGAGTGAGTCTTTAGTTCCAATGAGTAAACTCTGTTCATACTCACAATGTAACCTGTAATTAAGAAGAATGGTATAGAAGGTTTGTCTTTTTCTTAAGGCTTCTGCTGTATTTGTATTTAACTTTAAATGTGAATACTGAAATTCAGCTTTGTACAAGATTATGTAAAAATACACCCATAACCAAATCCAACTGCAAGTCTGTAGCTCACTGGTGATGGTGATTAATGAAGGAATAGAAGCAGACACTGTCAGTTGGCCTCCTTACTGTTCAGATCACGTGTGGTTCTTAAAAAATATAGATCTCTGCACATCACTGTTTCAAATCCTCTTTATCGTGAAAGTTTACTATTTGCTAGAGCCTTCAGTTAGCAATTAAAATACAGGAGAAAAATGATACAAGTGGATTATACTGTGGTAATCTTTCAGCTTTGGTTGAGCTCATGTGTGAATTAGAAGAATTTATAAGTGGCACGTCTTCAGTTTCATGGGTTAAAACGTGTGACTAGAATTAAGTTGAAAATATTGCAAGATAAATGAAAGTGCTGATTTTACTTCATATGCAGTGGGTGATTAAATGGCAAATACAGATCTGAAGCAACAAGAGTTACCAATCATTCCTGTTATTATTTACTAACCTAAAGAATTGCCTATCTTTTTAGAACTCTACTGGATTTGCATGATTGTACTTACTAATAAAAATGTTACCCTGCTTGTAGTTTAGGGAGGAGAAAACTGATGATAAGTAAACTATGGATTTGGGTATGACAAATTAACAGCATTTCTGTATTTTGTAAGTTATTTAATAGATGAATGTATATTACTGTTGGTGAAAGTGTTTCTAAATATTTATTTATTCATCCTTGAATGCTTGATTACATGACAGAGGAACAAGCCCTTCAGGATTATGTTGGAATAGATGCCACTTTTTTAATTTATTCATCACTTCTTTATCTTCAAAAACAAAAAAATATTTCCAAGATGTATCAACTGGTTGTCTCTCAAGCATTGCTGATTCATTGCTAGACATTTGTTTGAAGGTTATATTAGAACACAGTACGTCAAAGGCAGTCATAAATATGCAGAGTGATTTTATGAAGACAGCTATTCATTTTTTTTTTCAGATAGAAATTACAAAGGCTTTTTGTTTGTTTGTTTGCTTAATTGGAATCTGTTTTGAACTGTTGTCTTTAGATGTGATACAGTGTTTGTGTTTATCAGTCTAATTCCTGACTGTAAAGATCAGCAATGGAGAAGTGCTCTGCTCTGCTCTCTGTGCTTTCCTGCTCACTTGGTTTGCCAAGAGTCTGTCTCGCTACTTTAGCTGCTTTAAAAATGTGATGTGCTAAAAAAATCAACTTCCACGATCTTTTCAGTGAACTTGAGACATACAAGTCATTTTTATGATCTTCATAAAGTAACTATAGTTAGTGCAGATGAAAAAAATAGTGTGCACATATTGTAATGTAATTGTAGGAAGAATGCAATAAAAAAGAGTTCAATTCCTTTTTTACTGCTTACACACTGTAGCTCATGTAAAACATAAAAATTGAACATGTTTCTATCTTCCTCATGCATTTTGCCTGTTCATTGGTAGGTATGAATGTGAGGAATCCTTCACAACTCTGAATGTAGATATAAGAAATCACCAAAACCTCCTTGATTCTTTGGAACAGTACGTCAAAGGAGATTTATTGGAAGGTGCAAATGCGTATCATTGTGAGAAATGCAACAAAAAGGTAATGATTCCTTATGTTTTAAATTTGTGTACAACTGTGATGTTACAGCTGTACTAAGTTCAGTCTTAGTTCGTGTTCAGGGGGAAAAAGTCATCCTTTAATTACTGAATTTGGTATTTGGTGAGAGTATATGAATGGAAACTTCAAGAGCTGTTCATGTCTTTTTTTAGGTTGATACAGTGAAACGCTTGTTGATTAAGAAGTTGCCTCCAGTTCTTGCCATCCAGTTGAAACGATTTGATTATGACTGGGAAAGGGAATGTGCAATCAAATTCAATGATTATTTCGAATTTCCACGAGAACTGGACATGGAGCCTTACACGGTGGCAGGTGTAGCAAAATTGGAAGGGGATGACGTGAATCCTGAAAATCAGATAATACAAAATGAACAGTCGGAAAACGAACACTCTGGGAGCACAAAATACAGGCTTGTGGGTGTGCTTGTGCACAGTGGCCAGGCCAGCGGCGGACATTACTACTCCTATATTATCCAGAGGAACGGTGGAGACGGTGAGAAGAACCGGTGGTATAAATTTGATGATGGAGATGTGACAGAGTGTAAAATGGATGACGATGAAGAAATGAAAAACCAGTGTTTTGGTGGAGAATACATGGGAGAAGTGTTTGACCACATGATGAAGCGCATGTCCTACAGACGCCAGAAGAGGTGGTGGAACGCTTACATTCTTTTTTATGAACGTATGGACACAATAGACAAAGACAATGAACTAATAAAATATATTTCAGAAATAGCTATCACCACTAAACCCCATCAGATTAAAATGCCATCAGCCATCGAGCGGAGTGTGAGGAAGCAGAACGTGCAGTTCATGCACAATCGGATGCAGTACAGCCTGGAATATTTCCAGTTCATAAAGAAGTTGCTTACTTGTAATAGTGTCTACCTAAATCCTCCTCCAGGTTAGTATGTTACTGTGATAATTACGGATTAACTTCTTGCAAGAAGAGTTTTGATTCGTGTGGTCAATATTTTGTCAAGCCAATGAAAATTTGGTGTGTTCTGCTTTGAATACTCTGTCCTCCTGGACTTCTGCAGTTAAACATCTGCTGTTGAGTTGTTCATAAGGGATAAGTTGCCAGAATATTTAGCAAAAATTTCTGTGATAAGCTATCAGCTATTACTCATCTTATGTACAAAGTCAAGTTAAACTACTGAAGTTTGGGGGCTGTTCTGCTGAAAACAGTTCTCAGGGTGAGATGCTGATTTTCTAGAATCAGAGGTATGTTAACATCCAGGTACCTGTCTTAAAGCTTACATTTTCAAATGATGCATTATAGAAGGTAGAGGCTGTTTTGGTCAAGTTTCTTGTTAAAATTGGAACACCATGTTAGACAAAATCAGTTACATTATTATAAGTTGCTTTTACTTTGTCTACATGTGAGTATTTTGATTTTTCTTTAGGACAAGATCATCTGTTGCCTGAAGCAGAAGAAATAACTATGATTAGTATTCAGCTTGCTGCTAGATTTCTCTTCACCACAGGATTTCATACAAAGAAAATAGTCCGTGGCCCTGCTAGTGATTGGTATCTTGTCTTTTAACAACACTTACAATTTTGGAAGTTTGATATCTGTTAAAAGATCCCTTTTAGATACGTATGATAGTAAAAAGTATATGTAGTCTGTCTTCTTTTCTCCTGTTCACAAAATATGTGGTGAAGGTGCCAATGAAAAGGGGGGAAAATTTGAACAGAAAATACTGGGAAGAAACCGAGCCTTAAAATAAGCTTGCTGAGGTGACCAGCTTCAAAATTCATTTTCAGACACAGCTTAAATCTACCTTTTGTCTGTCTTGTAAAAAGAATAAAGGGCTAGAAGCTGTCGGTAGCACAAAACTAACAGGTTATGTTTTCTAACAAATTCAGAATGGTGTATTCATTGTTTGAGTAGTTTTGAACAAAGCTGGTTTATATCCATTGTTGCAACTTATTTTTATATTGTTTGTGAAATGTGTATAGTCTCTGAGACCCTGTTAGCAGAGCTTTGTGTACATTGCTACAGGGCCTGTAATTCAAAGCCACAGTACAACAAACAAGACAAATTATACTCACTGCACCACAACATATTAGTCTTTAAGTTCAGTTATTTTGTGCCAGGGGGAGAAGTGTGGGTTACTCCTGGTCAAACTCAAGAGAAAATCTGGTATTCATGGTGACCAGTAGTTTACCAGCTGCTAGTAAGTAGTTTTGTAATACAGGGCAAATACGTATCTCCAGTAGCAAATTCCAGAGTAGCTGAGTTACTCCAGTTAAGACATCAGGAAGAGTTCAGATACTACTGTAGGAAGGAGGACAGATTCATGCAAGGCACTGTCTGAAACAGATGTTTTACTCTTTGGGTATTGGTTTTTTTTGGCTTGTGTGTTTTTTAGATCTATAAATGAGAGTGTGAATTCCTGTTAGGTTACATATTTAGTTACCTGTCTCATACCCAGCTCATAAAATCCACCTTACTTTCTCTGCTGCTCACCCTCTACCCCCCTTCTAGTACAGAGGGAAGGGTGGCTGCCAAAATAGGACCTGCTTTGAGCAGTAAGGAGTTTAGGGGCATAATAAGAACTAACTAAAGTTAGTTAGTTCTTATCGATGACAGAAGTAAAATGCTACAGTTAAATGTTAAGTTTTGAGTGTATCTTTAATTTATGATTGCACATAACAGAACATCACTATAGGAAGTACAGTTTATGTGATTGGAAGCATTAATGTTTGGGAATCACCTTTAACGTGTAATTTCTTGAAATTCTGCAAAAGAACACATCTACCAAATTCATAAATATCTACATTTGGTCATAATCTCAGTTGTGCCTTTTTCTGTTTCAGGTATGATGCATTGTGCATCCTCCTTCGTCACAGCAAGAATGTACGCTTTTGGTTTGCACACAATGTCCTTTTTAATGTTTCAAACCGCTTCTCTGAGTACCTTCTGGAATGCCCTAGTGCAGAAGTGAGGGGTGCATTTGCAAAACTTATAGTATTTATTGCACATTTTTCATTGCAAGACGGACCATGTCCATCACCTTTTGCCTCTCCTGGACCTTCCAGTCAGGTATTTAATCTTCAAACAAAAAGGTTTTTCAACTCATTCTTACTTCTTCATTATAAGCATGTAATGCTAAATAAATTCTGGAGTAGATGCATCAGTGTTGACTGCAAATCTCTGCAGGCCATTTTGCACTACAGCAGGATGTAACTCCACGAGTTTGTGAGAGAGATGCTGTCAGAGGGGTTTGGCTTCCCCTCATTTGTAAATCTCTGTGAAGACTCAGCAGTGAGAACTTCAAGTTGCAAGTGTGAAATCTGCAAAATAGAAGTAGTGGCTTTTTTACTAAAGTAATGTGTAGAGAAGTGAACCCTTGCTTTGCATTTAGAATTTTAAACAAATAAATAAGCCCCACAAAAAAGCAAACAAAAATAATATAACTGAAAACCTGCAGAGTTCCCTAAGTTTTCATCCTGTATCCTGCAACAGTTAAAATTGTAACTTTGAGGAGGAGTAGGCAATGAGTTGCCTAGTCTTACACAGCTAGGACTGACAAACAAACAAAAAAAGCCTATTACTTAATGTAATACTTGTCATAACAAATGTTTTTGTTTGGACTCTATTAAAATTTAAAAGACGAACCTTTTTGAGCCTTTTCTCGATCGTGTTTTTGATGTCTACAGCAAGACACTTCTTATTTGTATGGTTCCACTTACCTTCTCAGAATGTTATCACTGCTATATCCAGCTAAAGAATTTGGTTTAAGTTAAAGATACATAGGCTTTAGCAGTGTTTTGTTTCGTGAAGTATTAGAGATACACCTGTAGGGGTGATTTGGTTGTCTTAAGTGTGTGAAGTTGACGGTGGAACTGCACGTGTGTTTCTTGAGTATTTCAGCCTATTTGCTGTTGGAGAAAAAACTCAGTTAAAAGCTTCTCTACTTGCATCATTTCCTGGACTTAACATGGTATTGAGTGATGGGAGTCTTATTCCCTGTATGTCTGTTTGTCTTGTGTGAGATACAGAAGACTAACCAGCTGCTGGTATTTTGGAGCTTGTCTGAATCCCATACCTTTAAACCAGTTCTGTTTTCTGTCGTAGTAGAAAGTATAAACTAAATAAAGATATGTTCAACCACTGACATTAAAACTTTTTCTTTCAACAGGCTTATGATAACTTAAGTTTAAGTGATCATTTACTGAGAGCGGTACTAAATCTGCTAAGAAGGGAAGTATCTGAACACGGGCGCCACTTGCAGCAGTATTTCAACCTGTTTGTGATGTATGCCAATCTAGGTAAGGACACTGCACACACTTTTACTCATGGCACTGTAATAAACTGGTTTTTAATGATCCATTTACAGAGGTTTAACAGCAGGAGAATCCAGTTTTCCATCCTCAGGCAGATTGTTACCATTCTATGTTGTATAAATGCTCCCTAGAGTGTGTGTCTTCCTCCAGTTTGGAGCTTGGGGCTTTAGTCTTCCTGCCATCCTTGGAAGATAAACATGGGAAGGTGGGAGCAATAAGACTGTGACCTTCTGAGAGAGGGTGGGGGTAACATTTTAAAAAGTACTTGACCATTGCTGTTTATGAGCTCGTGCAGGAAGTTATAAATGTTGGATTACTTTGTGGCTAAAGTGTTAATCAAGTGTATCAATCCAAATGTAGCTGTGTCAGAGTTCCCACATAGGATTGATACACACACACACAAGAGTTCTGGAAGCTCTTCCAAGTAGGTAGACACTTTTAAAGGAATTTAATTTCCTGTCTGTAAAATTAGTCTGGACAGTTGTGTTAATCTAATTCCACCTGTAACGTCTGTTGCTTTCATATACTTTGTCTACCAAAGCATTCTCTGTCAGGCAGGTTCCACCATGACCCCCAAAGTGGACTTAAAGTCAATACAGAGAAGAAAAGTCAATACAGAGAAGAAAGATGCCATTCTTCTGCTCTGCCTTCTCTTTTCTTCTTTACTAGCTTTTCACAGTCAGTCAGTACAGCTGAGGTCTCCAAGCAGGAGAGCGCTCAGAACCCAGGGAAAATACAGTTTTATTTGTGGGTCTGATAATTTTCACAATCTACCTGCAAAGATAAACCTGGAAATACAGTGCTAAGCAGTTGTGCTTGTCTTACTACTGTTACCTGGAGGCTTCTGTATTGATGTAGACCTCATTCATTAAAAGCCACAATAACATCATTCCTGCAGCATCCCAAGTTCTCTGTAAAAGATTAAATTGTCTGACATTTTGAGAAGTCAAATAATATATTACATCAAAGCAAGTGAGAGATCAGTTCTACAAAGGATGTAGCTACAAAACTATCTAGCATAATCAAAAAATACCATAAATAAAAGCTCTTAGATTCCTCCTTCTTATCAGAAAGATGGAAGGTAAGGTCTAGTTATATTTCAGAATAAGAAAAAACATGGAAAGGTATGGAAAATTGTGACTTTTAAGCAAAATAAGAAACAGAATACAGGATCAGAAGGGACATAGGGAATTTCCTGGTAAGTACTTGTGTAGTATGTGCAGTTAAACTAGGTGTATGTTTGGATTTTTCTGGTGGGTTTGGATTTTGGTTAATTTTTGAGGTTTTCTCATTGGTTTTGCTTATTTACACTTATTGCAGCGTATGGAAGAGTTACAAACTTCACACATTTCTGATTGATCTATCTAGGACATGATGGGAAAATAACATAATATACAATGGGGGGGATGTTTATCCTATCCTGGCCCTCAAAATAAAAGGATGAATTCATTGTCCAAAAGAGTTCTCTGAGGTTTTGCTATTAACACAGATGCTACTAGTGAGTTACTTAAGTGCTAATGAGCACTGTGAAGAAATTACAGTAATTTACAACTCTGCTTCAATGTGATTTTTCAGCTGAACGTAATTTTCTTGTGCATCTCTATTGATTTAATTATTTTTTCCTCAGAAAGCATAAGTGATGGTTTAATAAAACCCATGAAGTGAAAAGTTGCAAGTCATGTAAACACTGGTTCTTTTTCTTTTAAAAAATTTTTAAAAATCAAGTATTGTCAGTGCCAGAAACAAGGTATTTTTCTTTCTCCCCGCCCCGTAAAGGTGTAGCAGAGAAGACACAACTTCTGAAACTAAATGTTCCTGCAACCTTCATGCTTGTGGCTCTGGATGAAGGTCCAGGCCCTCCAATTAAATACCAGTATGCTGAACTGGGGAAGCTGTACACGGTCGTGTCACAACTGATCCGTTGCTGCAACGTGTCATCGAGGATGCAGTCTTCTATCAATGGTACAGTGGATTTTAAGTTTTCCTTAGGTTAACTGACTGGATCAGTAACTGTCTTTTTGTGCATGGTTAGCTATTATTTGTAAAGTGGATTAGCTGGAAAAATATTTTCCTTTTGTGTTTTAGCAACTCCTTTCATTTAAAGTCAGAAATTTGTTTCTCGTAAGCAAAACTGATTTGATGTACTAAAAAGGCCAGGACAGAAATCTGTTCTGTATTTTATGCTGCGTGGTTTGTTCCTTAAAGATACAGAAAAATAACTGATTCATAAAGCAGGAGGTTGTTGATTACAAAATAATAATGTTTTTAGAATAGTTTAAGCACATTGTAAAGAGCTGCATAAAGATACTTCTGTTGCAAGTAGGCAATAAAAAATAGATTATAAAAGTAATCTGTACAGGAAAACCACCATAGCAGGCTCTGAGATAGCTAATAATGCTTATCATGAAGAGATGTTGCAATGTTGTGGGTAGGTCTTGAATATGATTTGGTGCTTGTTCACACTCAAGATGACAAACGGAAGTCAGCACTTTAATTTATGACAGATAAAGAATCAGCTAGAAATTGATTAACCACAGTGTAAATCATTAATATCTCCAGTGGCTGAATAGAGTGCAGTTATTTTTGAGAAATGGTGACAGAATATTGGGCCATGTGGACTTTATAGCCTGTATATGTACATGTTCTGTTAAGCATATTTTAGAAAACCTAATTAGAAATCTGTAGAGAAGCTATTTAATGGCAAACTCATTAAAGCTTGATGTGTCAGGCTATAAAGTCAATAGACTAGAATGTGCTATAGTGAGATTAATGAACTGAAAATTTTACTGTGCTATAATAAGCTTCAGAATCATTTGGCAGTTTTGATTGGGTTTGTTTCCAGAGCATTATATGAAGCTTACACTGAGAAGATATTCTACCTATGAAAAATAATTGTATATTCACTGTATTCATGACATTGTAGTGAAAAAGTTTACTTTGTCTGAACATCATTCTGACTACTAATTATGATTACCGTTTGCAGAATAAAGTTATTTTTTGCTTCAGCGTATTAAGATGGAAAAGTTCTTCCTTGGACTATGGGCATCTTCAAACAATAATCGAAAACACTGCGAAATTCAGAAACATCAGGAGCAAATCAACAGTCTTTCCTTACACAAAACAAAGCTTACTAAATAAGATACATTAATTTGTATTCTTTCGAAAGTATATTACTTCTGTACGCTCCAGAGATTCAGATGGGACTGTTCTGACATAAATATTCCTCTGAACACTTTTGCATTGTCTTGTGGAGTAAATAGATGTTGTGTCCTTAAAATATGACAGATTTGGGCTGTGTTACACAAGCACTGAAGCAGATAAATTCAGGAGATAAGAGGATTTCACTGAGGAAAACTAACGATTTTTCCTCTGGCATATGAACATGTCTCCAGCTGTTCTGCTTTGATTGTCACTGCATAATCTTATCAAAGAGGGAGAAGTAGCTCTCTCAGGCAGCAAGTGTCAAGCTTCACAATCATGAAAATTAGTTATTTCGTATGATATTTTTTTCAAAGAAAATCATCTGTGAAGGGAGTATTTGTGCTTTTTCTCCATCTATTGTTTTTGATGAGTTACACCAATTTATATTTTGGAGTGACTACACTTGAGAGTACTTCAGTACCTTTTAATCTGTAATAACTGTTTGTTCTAGGTAATCCCCCACTTGCCAACCCTTATGGTGATCCTAATTTATCTCAACCTATAATGGCACTTCAGCAGAACGTAGCAGACATTCTGTTTGTGAGAACTAGTTATGTGAAGAAAATTATTGAAGATTGCAGCAACTCTGAAGAGACCATCAAGTTGCTTCGTTTCTGCTGTTGGGAGAATCCTCAGTTCTCTTCCACAGTCCTCAGTGAACTACTTTGGCAGGTAAAAATAAAAAGCCAGGAGAAAGATGGGAATATAAATGTGTATGATATAAGATTCTGTACTTAGATGTGAGTGTTGTATTGAATACTGAACGGGTGCTTGATAAATAAATGTTCCTTAAGATGGCATCCTCTGACAGTATTTACACTCTTAGGTCTGTACATCATGTTGAAGTACTAAGAGAAGTCCTGTTGTGAGTTTAGGAAAGCAGTCAACCTTTAATGAGTCAGGAATGCTGTGTTAAGGATGGAAAGTAGAACGTGGTGGTCTTTATGTATTCCAAGAGTATCACCTAAAGACTTTCTGTCATTATCCATAAAAGAACTTCTTAAATTACTTGGAAAGCTAGAATAATTTCTTAAGATCTCCCATGTATTTATTTCAAGTATGTTCTTAAGGTTCTCCTTTACAATTTTGCAGAACATACTTGGCTTCAGCCTCAGCAAAGAAATATAACACAGCAAGGTCTGTGTTATATTTCCTTTCTAATCTCTGTGAGGTCAGTCACACTTTTCCACTCCCAATAAAATTTTTGACTTCTATTAGGACATCTTTCTATTCACCTCTTTTTTTTTCACATAAACATCACATTTAAGTATGTCTTTTTTTTTTTTGGCACTTGAAAGAATCATAATAAAAATCACTTTACTGATATTTTGCTAGCCATATATTTTACATTTTAGGATAACGTTTTGAATACATTGCCTAAAAGTAGCAATACCAGTGCAAAATGCCGTTTTGCAATTTTGCTTTTCTAAAGGTATTTTTAAAGGTAGTTTCTTCAGCATCTCATGCTTGGGGTGTCAGATCAATTGTATAAGGAAGTCATGAGGAAACATTTTGTCCTTTACATAACTTAGTATATTTAAAAACAAAACAAATATTGAACAAAACCACAACCCCCCAAATCCCCACCACAATCAGCACTTTTTAGAAAAAAGTCTTGTATCTTGAATTAATCTTCGTATTAATTTTATTCTTGTACTGCACCATGTACACTGCAGTGCTTCAAGAAATGCTTTCTTATGTTCTCTGCATTTTCCCTTTTTAAGGTTGCATATTCATACACATATGAGCTTCGACCTTATTTGGATCTGCTTCTGCAAATCCTGTTAATTGAGGATTCTTGGCAAACTCACAGGTCAGTATTTACCTGTCTTTTTATAATTCAGTATTGTTTTGTACGGATTGTTTTTCCAGTGGTTCTGTTGCTAATCCTTTAAGAGGTTTGTTTTAAATAGATCCTAAATCAAAACACACAAATAAAGCATTTTTCTTGTTTTTCTCACAAATTTTGAGATAAGTGCTATTTTTCACCTTGACCTTCCTTATTATTGAGACATTTGCTGCACAGTCCTATAAAGCCAAGATTTTTCATATAGAAAAGAATGTGCAGTTTAGGCTAAACTTATTGGTGCCCAGATTGATTCTTGGAAACAATCCCAGCCTGGTCTTGCTAAGTAGCACCTCAGTTGCAAGAGTGATACCAGGGGATGTATAAAGTGTGAATGTGAGCATTCCTACATAAGTCTTCTCTGTGTGGTCACATTTCAAGAGAATTTTAACTTCAACATATTATATATTAATCCAATTTGAAACCTAGTTTTTATATGTCTACAGAATAAAGCTTTTCAAAATTGAGATTAAAAAAATGTAATTATTGTGATAACAGTCCATTTTTCAAAAGTTTTACATAAAAGACATAGGTGAGATAACACAAAATAAATGTCATCAACATGCTACCTGTCAGTATTTCAGAGTGTCACTGTTTCATAATAAGTGGTTATAGGTAGTATTGGATTTACTAAATAATTTCCAACTGTGTCTCATAGGACATTTAAAATACTTGAAGTAAGAGCACACTTGCTGTGTGCAGTAAAGGTATGGAAGTGGACTCCTGTCCTTAACCTGTGGAATTAGACTGCTCCTTTAGGATGTTATGAGTTGCTTGGCCTTAGTTTAGAAGGGAGTCAGGGAGGGTGGTGGTTTGGCTTAACCACACTCCAGAACATGACAACTGAGTTGTAGGAATTTCTTCTTTTTCTTTAGAGGAATTACAATTTAGGAAAGTGACAGAAATACCCTTTACACACAGGCTTTCCAGTTTTGCAGGTGTATGTGTATGTAATGCACATATCATGCAGTTTGCTTGTATTTTCTTCTTGATAAACAAGTACTTCCATAGGATGTGTCTTAAGTCCACAGAATGCTGGAGGATGGATGTACTTAAGTGGATATGATGTAAAATAGTATATTTTTAGGATTGAACTGCAGGTGAGAAATCAGTAAATGGTTGTTGTGGATAATGCTACATTCAAAGTAACAGGGTATGAAGGGTGTTGAATGCTGTAGTGTGGCTTCCCTGGAAAAGTACATCACTCCATGTTCAAGACTGCAGTCTGAGGAGTAGCACTGTTGTATGGAATTGTGTTAGGCTTCAGCAGAGGGGTGTTAAATGGCCACCTGCAGTCATCCCCTGACTGAAATACTGGTTTGGTGCTGTTCTTGGTTTTGCTGTGATAATCAGAGAGTTTAAATGATCTTTGTCTTCTCTTTAAAAAGAACAAACGAAAAACAAACCACCACCAAACAAACAGCAAAACTGTCTATGGTAAATGGGGTCTTGTAACTCCTGGAAAACAAACATCATCTGACCTCAGGCAGTGTGTGTGTCCCTCAGTGCTCCTCCTCTTCTGGCACTGCCAGGTCGCTGCTGCCGTTCCTTGGCGTCAGACCCACTCTCTTAAATTTTTCTTGATTTGACAAGTTCAAGTGCTTAGTTTGGGATAATAGTGTTCCAAGTGCCGTTAAGTTAAAATAGCTGAAGTAAAGCTCGTCATGGCTTTTGGATGGAGCCTGGGCTCACGGCTGCCTGCAGTCTGTTCACTACCTGTGCCAGGGCTGTGAGGAAAGAGGGCAGTTGCTTTTCCTACCATGAGTGTAGCTCTTTGAGACTTCTTTTTCAGAGCCAAAAATATGTCAGTTCTCAGTTTTTGCAGTTTCAGGGTGGCAGTTAATTTCCCTACCCCTTGTTTGAGAGCAGAAGGCACAGAAACTGGGCTTAGTTCCAGGGAATGCCCCAGTCCCTTTTTCCCAGGGACAAATATGTACCAGTTCCTTTTCAGAGGAACTGCATGTAAAAGAGTGCATCTTTGAGAAGCATAACTAAGTGTAAGTAACCATTCTGTTGAGGATTTAACTGTTCCAGTTCTGTAAGGACTGCAAGGGTTAACAGGACTGTTTTGTAAATGCAGTATACTTTTAAAATAAGTAGTAAAAATTAACCAGTTACAGTTGATTACTGTGATTAGAATTAATCATACTTACATTTTTTATATATATCTTGTTCTGTTAGTTTAAATGCTACCAAACATGCTAAAAATGTTACATATATGATATGTCAAGTTTGTCTTCTGATTTTTTTTTCTGTCTCTTGACTAACACCAGAAGTCAGAACACAAGCTGTCCCTTTTATAATTACAGTGTAAGTGGAGCCTTAATTCAAATGCTGAAACTCTTTAACACTTGAAGTGTTGTTGTTGTTTTGGTTTGGTTTTTTGTAGGATTCACAATGCACTTAAGGGAATCCCAGATGACAGGGATGGACTATTTGACACCATTCAGCGCTCGAAGAATCATTATCAGAAAAGAGCTTACCAGTGTATAAAGTGCATGGTAGCTCTCTTCAGCAACTGTCCTGTAGCTTACCAGATCCTTCAGGTGATACCTTTCATTCTGTTTCTTGCTGCTTTTTCTTAGTTCTGTGGTTTTTAAAATTAAAAAAAATATAACAATTATAAACCAAACCCCACCATTATTTGTTTTTTATCACTTTGATGAAATTGCAGCTTTGAAGTACAACTCATTTGAACCTTCCTGTATCAGAAAGTCAGTATATGGGGTTGAAAGCAGTTTATTTAAATTCACACTCATGATTCTGTGATGCAGCTGCAAATCCACAGACTTCATTTCACATTTGAAGTTTTCTTTGTTCAGTATAGGATATCCAGGGACTCTTTCAAAACAGCAGCAAATGGGTTGGTGGCCTCTTCTCTAATAGCTGATGTATAAGAAAGGAAAATTATTTCTCTTTTCAATATCAAAGGAAATAATTTTGAATTGTTTATTTTCCATCTGCAGAGCAATGGAGATTTGAAGAGAAAATGGACCTGGGCAGTAGAATGGCTTGGAGATGAGCTTGAACGTAGACCATACACTGGCAATCCCCAGTACACCTACAATAACTGGTCTCCACCAATACAGAGCAATGAAACATCAAATGGCTACTTCCTAGAGAGGTCACACAGTGCTAGAATGACTCTTGCAAAGGCTTGTGAACTCTGCCCAGAGGAGGTAAAGAATTAATATGACTTCAGTAAAAAAATTGAGTAAAATGCTTCTGTAAACAGTTAACCTTACCAACAGTCTCTGGTCATTGAAGAGGCAACAGATTTCATTAAGTGTTTTCTAAATGCGGATTTATATTTTTATTGACTTCAGTTACATACTCCTGTGTATTTTTCAGCTTTTATTAGTGTTTCTGTAGGCATCTGTCACTTGGAGAATTAGCAATATGGAACTGGATTTGAACATTTAAAGTAGATTATGAATGGGTCTGTATTTCCAGTAATATGTTGATGGGGAGTTTTTATGTAGTACAGTACAAGCTGTAGGTGACACCGTGGAGTGGAATTTTTCTCCAGGCATATCTGAAACAATCACTTCCACGTAGGATTTGTTCTGGGTAGAATAATTGTAATATGTTTTACCAAAGTAAATTAAATGGGTTTTTTCAAACTTTAGGAACCAGATGATCCTGACGCCCCAGATGAACATGAGTCTTCTCCACCTGAAGATGCCCCACTGTATCCCCATTCACCTGGTTCCCAGTATCAACAGGTAAAAGCTCTGAGTTGAACCATTTATTCAGAGTTTCAGGTTTGTTTGGTATTTTTTTTTAGCATTTGTGGTAACGTAAATTATAGCCATTTAACCAGAAGCATATTATTGTCAAATATCACACTTGGAGGAATAAAGATAAAGGTACATCTCCATTTTGCCAGGAGCAGTTACACCATATGAGAATTTTATCAGATCAGGGATTAATCATCCACAGAAAGACCTGAGGGACTGATGTCATCACAGTGACTGAATTTGATTCTGTCATATTTATTGACATAGACAATATTTAGTGAGTTGCTTACTTGTTTTCAAATATAAAATCAAGCCTCAAAGCCTGAATTTCAGTTTGGATAATTGGAAGGCTTTTTGAAAAAAGCAAATGGCTTTGTACTATGAACAATGATCTCTAAATCTTAAGTACATACAAAAACTAAATCTGTTTTTACATTAAATGCCTGCTTTGTTAATATTTTCCGGTGGAAAGCCAGATCTGAAAGAAATCCTTACCAGGGTTTTTTTTATCGAATTGGCTAATTACTAGATCCTGCACTTAGTTGCCATTTTTTGTTCCAATTCATTTTATATATTCCAAATCTGCTAATTTAATTTCCTTTCCTGCCCAAATCCATTTTCCCCTCCATCTTGCTTTCCTTACTTGATGTTCTCAGCAGAGCAGTTGGTAAGTCATGCAGATTTTCCCACTCCTTTCTGAGCTCCCAAGTTCAGACACATTCTGTAACCTCACCATTATCCGTGTGATGTGTTCACTTTCTTGCAAGAGATGGCATTTCTCACTAACACACACAATCCTCATATTCCTAGTTTCTCCACAAACTCTGCAGAACAGTAGATAAATGAGGTGTTTTTGTTGGCCAGATCTGTGTATGACTTCTTAAATTGGGGCAGAGCATCTGCAGAAGACTGCTGGTCTAGATTTCATTCAGTTCTGTAATGTTGAATTTCCCCTTTAAAAATTAAAGTGAGCTGCATAAGTACAGGTTTGCTTTTCCCATTGTTTTAGGAAAAAAAATCAAGCTGATTGAATCTGTTAATAAAATATATGCACAGTTTAATGTGGCAGCACGTAGGCAACCTCTCTTTGTCTCCTTTTCTTTCTTTCTTGCTGCTTTTGCTTTGCATGTAACTGTTTGTTATTCAAAAGCTGAGATTGCTATTTCAGCTGATCTTGTACCTTTACAGTTGAATGTTTGTTTACCTTCTGTGTAAATCAGAAAGGTAAGTGAAAGGTGTGGATCAGAGCAATGAAGAAGCCGGGATGTGTGTTCATACAGACGTTGCCACAGGAGAAGTTGAGGTGTGCTTGAGGATACGGTTCAGTGGTCTGAATGGAAAGGGGGAAAGCAACGAGTGAGAAAACATCCCACAAGTTTAAAGCCCCTTTGAACTGTTTCTGTTTTCTTGCAGAATAACCACGTGCATGGACAGCCATATACGGGCCCGGCAGCACATCATATGAACAACCCTCAGCGAACTGGCCAACGAGCACAAGAAAACTACGAAGGCAGTGAAGAAGTTTCCCCGCCTCAGACAAAAGATTAGTGAAATGCACATAATCAATTAACTTGCTCCATCAAGACTGTGCACCCAGGCCTTACAGTCCAACCTTTCTCTGTGTCTGGCTAATATTTAAAACTAGAAAAACTATTCCTAATCAACATGGAGTGGAGAGTCTATTCACTGTCTTATCTGCAGAAAATTTGCTGTCAATATATAACCCGCCTGCAGTGGAAAGTGTATAGTGTTTTGTAATAAATGGCCTGATGCTAATGTGTAAATGGCAAAGGTGTATATAGTATATTAATGTTTGACTGTTAATTCTTGAGCAAGAAACATTTTTTTTTGTCTTGATGAGACTCACAGATCTACAAAAACAAAAAAATAATTTCTTGATATATCTGCTGCGCTCTGCAACCAGTGTTGCCTGCCTCATGGCAGTTGGATCAACTCCTTTATGAAAAAGCCTATCCATGTCAACCACAAAAATAGTTTCATGTTAATTCTTTGCCACTGGAGTCGATTTTACTATGAGCAACGTAATGGCTGGTAACCTTTTAATTATTTGGTTGATGTGGAAAATTGGTGATGTAACATTGTTTCTAGATCTTTTTTCATTGCCTTTTTCATTCTGGTATTAGGTTAATCACTTTGAAGCTATAGTTATGCTGTAACATTTAGCATGGCTTCACACCAAGTTAGTGTAGCCAATGAGGGGAAAAAAAACCAAACAAAAACAAACGTGACAGCAGTTGTCCCAATGTGACAACTGTATTGCTCAGAACTTTTTCTTCTTACACCTAGACTATAAAATGGGGAGGGAAAATGTGACAAACAAGTGGTTTTCAGTTTCACATATGTTCCTCACAACTGATGTTTGACAGTTCTCTCTCTGGGTGGGATAAAGAACACTTAGTTTTCAGTAATAGGAATTTAAAAGATTTAAAACAAATATGCAAAAATTTGCTATGCCAGGATGCCTGGAGCATAATAGACTGTATTTGGTGTGCTTGTTTTGTTTCTTTGGTAGAGCTTATTAGATAAACTTCTAACACTTTCCTTCTACTGCATCCCAGTGAAGTGGAAGTCAACAAAATCACAGAGTACTTGTGAGTGCCACTGCACCAAGTTAACTTGCTGGTTTTCTGCTCGTTCACAGTTCTACTTGAAAGCGAGAATTGTCTTAGCTCTTTATCCATTATACAGAAAATCTTAACATTAGAAGCAGGGTTTAAAGATAAAAGAAACTACTGGTTAGTCAAATACAATTCTGAGGTATCTCTATTCCAGAATAAACATTTGTTTAAAGACTTAAAGAAACGCATCAGTAAATACTGTATTTAAATGAAAATTGGTAACTTGAATGTGTGTAATTTTTTTGGAACCTGTCTAAAAACCAAATACCCCTGCAAAACAGATACAGCCCACCCTATACTATTTAAATATTTTGCTGTTTTATTTTATAGAAATTATTTTGCTGAATTCACAAATAGATTTGATTTAAGAAGAATGTTTTGTCCTGTGGTGTGTGTTGTTTTTTGGGGTTTTGTTTTTTAATGGACTGCACAGAAAGGTGAATTCTGTGCAGTGGCACTATGCTGAATTCTGGAACAACAGTCACATTGAGATTCTGTGCACAAAAAGAAAAAATTTGGCCCTTAAGAATAAAATAATCAGGACAATTACACTGTAAAAGTTTCTTAATGTGATTTATCTTGTACTTTTTGTATGTTTTTATATATACATATATATATTTAAGAGCACAAGCTTGATGGTGTTTTTTACAAATGAGTTGATAGAAACAAAGCTGCTTATCAAATTAAAGGTCTGTAGTTTTGAAATGAACAATGGCAAATCCAGTTTGCAAGTGCATTCTTAGGCATATAGTGTAACAAGGGAGGGACACAGAAGATTTTTGAATATGCTTGTGTAGTGATGATCACTTTTATGCTTCCATGTTTTTCCTAGTGCTCAAATTAATTCAGATTTTTTCATAGTTTTTTAGTAACACCATTTTACCTGGACTTAGTAAATTTGAATACAGTGTTCCCATTTATGTTTGGGAATGCTTGTTGGAGGTTTTAACTAAAAAAAAAATTCTACCCTGAGTTCTCAAGTTGAAATAGTTCATATTTATTTGGACCAGTAATTGTTAAACAAGCTATCTCAGAGGCAATTATTACGTATTTTTTACTATATAGGTAAAATATATAATGTGCTAGTTCAGCCTTGCCAAATGTGTTTGCTTTTAATAGTGCAATGATTGTAGAGACATGTCAAACCTGTGACACTTTAAGGCTGTGGCTTTCTTCAGCCATACCCACCCCTGTCCCTGAACTGGGAATGGCTGCAGTGGCAGTTGTTTTTTCAGGCAGCAGATTGAGAATATTGTGCATCTTTGTGACGTGAAGAAGGATAAGCCCGTCTTGTTTGCTGCAGCTGCTGCTTTTAGAACAGGTGTAAGGTGCAATGTTTTCTTCACTCTGGGCAAAACAGTTTTGAATTGTACTTAACAAATACTGTACAAGCAAAAAGTTTGATATGCATGTTACTGGTGCAGCATCTTGGCAGGTGATTTTCAGGCGACACACCTGGTGATACCTCGTTGGTGATGGCACACACTTTAAAGCAGTCGTCCTCAAAGTGCCTAAAGATTTAATTCCCCCCTCACTAATTTCAGTCCTGTTTTTCTGTTCAGAACAGTTTCTAGGGAATCTCTGGTCTTCCATAAAACGAGCCAATAAATAGTAAAGCAATTACTCGTGTTCCTGGCGGTGTAACACGGAATACAGAGAAACTGAAAATCCATAGGTGATGTTAAATGGGGTTAAATGTGTAGTTTGACCTCGAGGGTCAAACTTAACCCCTACTACTACTCTTGTACATTTGGATTGTGGTTGTTTAGTGACTAAAATAAGCTTTTTAACACTTGCTACTTGTCAGTGTTAAAAATAGTACAGCCATATATAAAAGGAGTTCAGTCACTGTTGGTGTATCAGTAAATGTGCTACGTTTCAGTCACAGAGTTGATCACCTGCACCTGTGTTACCCTTTGACAACAAGGAGGTGGCTCAGGGTTCACTCAGAGCTTGTTTGTCCTGCAGGACCCGATCTCGTGGTGATGGACAAGCAGAACAGGACTCTGCTTGACTTGGAATTTTTCACATTATTCTCCCTGCTGACTGCCAGCTCTGAAAATTTGAGTTCTCTATTTTTCAAGCTGGTGTATCTTACTGAAATGGAGCCAGAAAGAAAATAAATTCCCCAATGACATTTCTCTTTTTTTTTTTTTTCCCCAAAGTGAAACTTCAGACAACATGAGAGATTTGTGTTATCATAATTGCTGTTATGCCTTCTCAGCCACTTTGTTGTGCCTAGCTTGTGTGTTTTAGCATATGTATCATGAAAAAGCACTTATGGTTCCAAAACTTCCTATATATTTCCTGAGTTCCAGGAGAGAATGAGATTAGCCATCCTGCCAAAGCTAAAATGGGCAAAAATTGGCTGCTGTAGCAATTTACTCCATTTTTGGTTTCAATAAATTTTGTCTACCTCTGAGTCTTTTGCCAGAAAGGCTGATAAACTGTGTCATGGCAAAGTGGCTCAATGTTTTTGTTGGTGTGAGTTGCAGTTACTGGGCATTGCAGAGAGGCTTTCAGTGCAATGGATTTAACTTCAAATAAAAGCTAAAGACTGACTGTAGAAATTAGGGGAACAAGTGGCATGTTAGTAAATTTGAAGAGTAACCAATTAAGTGTTTAAATATCTTAACTAAACCTTGTTAGTTCACACTTGAGAATACACATTGAAAGCAAATTCCTCCTAGTGATGAAAGACACACACCTTAATTTTTGGGAGGGTGAGATGCTGATGCTGACCTCACATTTCTTAAGACAGGTGAGGGAGTTTCCCTTTTGTGGCCCAGCTTCAGCACAGTGTAATCAGGACAGCAGTAACTTTTGGCTCCCCACCTGCTTACTTTCTATGCTCTCCATCATGTTCATGATACCACTTTTTTCACAGCCATGAGGTCTTGGGAATAAAGTCCTGCCTTCTATAGGGGCCAGGCAAGACAGGCTTTATGGGGAGCAGTAGGAACTGTCTTGTACGTGCTGTGTGCTGCACAGTGGTGCTGCAGGAACAAAGCAAGGGTAGAGGAACCCAGCTGCTTCCTCCTGCAGGGTTTCTGATCCTCTTCCTGGTGGTCTCATGAAGAGGACAACAGCAAGCCCCTCTTTTAGGCTCAGTGCACTTTCTCCTGGTTTGCAGCTGGGATCAGAGTACACTGGAGCAGTGACCTCCCTGTGTGTGCCCCCCATGCCATTCCAGGGTGTCCATGTCCCTACCTTCTCGTGGTCTTTGGGGATTGTCATGTCAGTTCAGTCACTTACACTGGGACTTGCCCTCTATTCCAGCCTGGACAGGGCTTTAACCAACCCCAGCACTGTCACTTTTCACACTGTGGAGCTTTGTAAGGTTCACAGCATAAATGCCCTTTTATTTCTGAGTCAGCTCCCTCGGGGTGACTGTTTTAAAGTGTCCAGTAGCCATTCCTTTGTCCTTTTCTACCGGAGCAACTGCTCAGTCCCACTCCTGCAGTGTGTTAGGGTAGGCTGTTCGTGGAATTGTGTTGATGTAGTTTCCAGCCATTAAATTCAGAAATCCTCATCCTGTAATCTGATTTTCTAATGCAAGTTGTGATGGATCCCTGGATTTCAACAGCATTTGTGCGAGTTCAGTTGATTTAAGCACTGCAGGAGTGGAAGTTGGTGACATGTTGCAGGGGTCAAGCCAGATCAGTCAGTGGGTGGCACAAAAGACAGATCTCTCTTGTTTGCAGACAGTGAAATCAAAACAAGAATGATGGAATGAGTTTTTGAAGGAGAAAAACACTCTCCTGAATAAGGGCTAACTTTTCATTGGATTTTTAAATACCCAATTCTGTATTTTTTAGCTTTAGAATTCCTTAGAGCCACTTTTTGATAATAAAACTGACCTACAGGCTGTTTCCTTGGAAGAATTAATATAGCCTTAATCACATCAGCACAATTCTGAAGTCACAGGGTCATTCTTCAGTGGTCAAAATAATGTGCAAAAAATGTCTCCTAGTCTTTAACCATGAGCTAACCTTGAGGAATGGAAATAAGAGAAAAAAGGGTCTGTGAATTCGTCCAAAATCTAATCATAGAAAAATAAGATCATTCCCTTCTTCTCTGTACTATTCAAAATGTCTGATAGCGTTAATTTTTGTTCTTAAGTTTGCAACAGCTCTCCCAGTAACTTGGTTTGTGTTGCCCAAAGTGGTGTCAGCTGCACAGCCTGCAGCGTCCTGATGGGTTTGCAGTGACGTCCCTTTTAGTCCTCACCAGAGGAAAGTCTTTAAATGTTTGGGTTTTTTCCCCAAATCCACACTTCCATTGTGATGTGCTGTTTCTGTTTCCATACAATGCCCAGGGCTGGAGGAATGCTGTCCAAGGGTGGTTTCACCTGAGCCATTAAGTGAGCAGTTCTGTTCCCTTGCTGTAGTGACACCTCTGTAGGTGCAGCTTTTAAAGGTATTGGCCTTCTTTTCGTAGCTTTATTTATTGAAATGCTGCTCAGTTCTTGTCCCTCCACCCCTAAATTCCTGTCCGTCATTTCTTGTGATTCTTTCTTACGGAGTTTTTCCACTCTGGATTGTAAAGGTCATTTTTATATTTAATATTTTTGTATTTTCTTGGAATCAAATCTCTTCACTTGCCATGATGTTGTTTACCTCCTTTTTTTTTTTTTTTTACTTACACCTGTTGTCCTGCTGTTTGCTGCTGCAAAAGAAAAAAAAAAAAGTTTGCCAGGCAGCCTCCAAAGCAGAGCTTTTTACTGTGCAGTAGCAGCAGCCTTGACCCAGGTGGGCTTTGTCATCTCTCAAATCTCCTCGTAATTTGTGTGGGATTGGAAAGCTTTGTGCTACTGATGGCAGCCAGGAATTCTAATAGCTTGTGGCTTATTGGGTTTCTTTGGTTGATTAGTTGGTTGGGTTTTTTTCCCCCTTCATTTTCTGTCTTGAACAGTTGGTTTGTACAGGTGAACAAAAACAGTAGGTTTTGCTGGAATCTACTCTGGAAAACAAGGCTGATTGAAAACGTGGACACTTAATATACTTGATTGTATTTAAATATCTGGTAGGTGCTTTAAAGTCCTCAGAAGGTCTTCTGGAAGCAAATTCTAAAGCTTAGAAATGTGAAGACTAGGTCTTCAGGATTTAATGATAGAAATTCTATCAACCTCCCCTGTGCGTGGTTAGGGACAGGTGAAATAGCAGAAATGAAAGTATTTCCCTGAAGGGAGAGGTCATGCTCTGTGAAATCCCTGGGGAACTGGAAATGGGCTTTTCTCTGGCCCCACACACCCACTGGCAGCAGCTTGTGAGCCCTCCCGGTGTGAACTGAACCACAGGATCCCCGGGAACCGAGGAGCTGATTCCTGGCAGGAACTTGAGATTAAGTAGCATGTAAAGCATTTTCTATCCTTTTTCTCCTCTTAAGATCTGTACCAAGTCGAATCCTCTGAGCAAATACAGGGAGTGGGCTGAGCGAGGGGCTTCCCCAGCTGCCTCTGTGAATACTTTCTACCTCTTGACATTCTTTGCCGGCTGTTCCACCGGGAGTGGCTCCAGCAGCACGGGAGCTGCTGTGGGTCGCGCCAACACAGGTGCACAAAGACCTGGTGGGGCTGTTTGCTGGGCAGGCACGGGCAGTCCCTGCCTCCCCTGGGGATGTACGGGATCATTTGGGGTACCTGTGTTTGCATCAAAGTGGAGGAACCGGCGTTTTTCAGGTGGCACCACATGAACTCACAAACACTCCTTACTCAGCC